GTCCCCTATGTCAGCAATTGAGAGGTGGGTGATTGACCATTTAATTACAACAGATATATAGACAATGGCTGTCAAACTACGACATAATTCACCGCGAATATCTACCTCCTCTCCGGTTCTTTCCGTCTTAATAGTGCCTTTCCTGTTGTTCTTCCTTGCATTTCCGGCACCCGCTGCTGCTGCTGGATCCGCAGTGATCGGTATCGATGTGGGCACAGAATACCTCAAAGCGGTGCTTGTGAAACCGGGAATTCCACTGGAGATCGTACTCACAAAAGACTCGAAACGTAAGGAGTCTGCTGCTGTTGCATTCAAACCCACCAGAGATAATGCGCCATTTCCCGAGAGATTCTACGGCGGCGACGCGCTGGCACTCGCTGCACGGTATCCGGACGATGTCTACGCAAATTTGAAAACACTACTGGGGGTTTCCTTCAATGGTGATGGGAATGAAGCGGTTCAGACACACCTTGGCAGGTATCCCGCTTTGAAACTAGAAAAAGCTGCTGAGCGGGGAACTGTCGGATTTCGAAGCAATAGACTTGGCGAGGAAGAAAGGAAGGACATCTTTCTTGTTGAAGAGCTTTTGGCCATGCAATTGAAGCAGGTCAAAGTCAACACCGACAACCTTGCCGGGAAAGGCTCAGATATCAGAGATGTGGTGATCACCTATCCCTCCTTCTACACGGCTGAGGAGAAGAGAAGTCTAGAGTTGGCGGCAGAATTAGCGGGTCTGAATGTTGACGCTTTTGTTAGTGAAGGCCTCGCTGTTGGATTGAATTATGCAACCAGTCGTCAGTTCCCCAGTGTTTCAAACGGGCAGAAGCCCGAGTATCATGTCGTCTACGATATGGGTGCGGGTTCCACAACCGCCACTGTCCTCCGTTTCCAAAGTCGCTCGGTGAAGGATGTTGGAAAGTTCAACAAGACAGTCCAGGAAGTCCATGTTTTAGGAACAGGCTGGGATAAGACCCTTGGTGGAGATTCCCTGAATGATCTCGTGGTTGGGGACATGATCGCAAACTTGGTCCAAGACAAGAAATTGAAAGATCGTGTCGCACCATCCGATATCGCTTCTCACGGCAAAACCATGGCGCGGCTTTGGAAGGACGCTGAGAAAGTTCGCCAGGTTCTGAGCGCCAACACTGAAACTGGAGCCTCTTTCGAAAGCCTCTATGAGGAAGACTTCAATTTCAAATACCGCATCACTCGCTCTAAGTTCGAGCAGCTTGCAGAACAGCATATTGCCCGGGTTGGACAGCCTCTGGAGCAAGCTCTAGCGGCTGCTGGATTACAGTTGAACGATATTGATTCTGTCATCTTGCACGGTGGAGCTATCCGTACCCCATTTGTCCAGAAGGAGCTGGAGCGGGTCTGCGGAGCATCCAACAAACTCAGAACTAGCGTTAACGCAGATGAGGCTGCTGTTTTTGGCGCTGCCTTCAAGGGAGCTGCCCTCAGCCCTAGCTTCCGCGTCAAGGATATCCGGGCCCACGACGTCTCTGGTTATCCCGTCTTGCTGAAGTGGCCTTCTGAATCCCGGGATAGACAGCAGAAGCTGTTCACTCCCACTTCCCAAGTTGGCCCTGAGAAGCAAGTCACCGTGAAAAACCTTGAGGACTTTGAGTTCAGTTTCTACCAGCAGATTCCGTTGGAGGACAATGTGGTTGAGTCTCCAGTTTTGAGTGTACAGACGCAAAATCTCACGGCATCTGTCGCCAAACTGAAGGAGAGCTTTGGCTGCTCTCCTGCAAACATCACTACCAAGTTCTCTATTCGTCTGAGCCCCGTTGACGGCCTTCCCGAGGTTGTCAATGGTGCCGTGAGTTGCGAGGTTGAGAACTCTAAGACGGGGAGTGTTGTTGAAGACGTCAAAGGCTTCTTCGGTTTGGGTTCTAAGAAGGAGCAGGCACCTCTTAACGAAGATGGAGAGCCTAGCGAGTCGATCACTCTGGAGCCTGAGGAGCCCCAAGCCTCGACAACTTCAGCCAGCGACCCTACTTCTACCGCCTCCGCTAAAGAAAACAAGAAGACCACGCCACAGACCAATGTGGAGACTATTCCCATTCGCTTCACGTCGTCCCCTCTAGGAATTCCTGCCCTATCCAAGACTGAGCTTGGCCGTGTTAAAGCACGTTTGGCCGCATTTGACGCCTCGGACCGTGATCGTGCCCTACGTGAAGAGGCTTTGAATGAGCTGGAGTCGTTCATCTACCGAAGCCGTGACCTTGTAGATGACGAGGAGTTCGCCAAGGTAATCAAGCCAGATCAGTTGGCAGCCCTACAGGAGAAGTCCGCTGCCGCTAGTGATTGGCTTTATGGCGATGGCGAAAACGCAAAGACATCGGAGTTTCAAGAAAGGCTCAAGGCCCTGAAGGACATTGTTAATCCTGCGCTTAAGAGAAAACAAGAAAACGCCGCTCGTCCAGCTCGTATTGAGCTTTTACAAGATGTGCTGAAGAATGCTAAGACTGTCCTGGACCTCATGGAGAAGCAAGTCAAGCAGGATGAAGACTTGTACTCTTCGTCCTTATCTGCATCCTCTACTAGTGAAGAAACTTCATCGACTACCTCATCTAGTGAACCATCTTCAACCGCCGACCCTCTTGAAGACCTGGATGAAGATCCATACTCGTCCACAGGATCTCAAACCACCTCAATAACCTCAACGGCCAAACCCACGGGCCCAAAGTACTCGATTTTCCAGCCATCTGACCTTGCCAGTTTGGCTCAAGCTTTTGAATCCACCAACACTTGGTTCGAAACCCAGCTTTCTCTTCAAGAGAAACTAGCCGAATCCGATGACGCAGTTCTGACTGTGGCTGAGCTTGATACCCGTCTCAAGGAGCTCGAACGCACCATGAACCGTATTTATGAGAAGATGGGTGCAGCGGCAGCCAAGTCCGGAAAGGACCAGTCGAAGAAGAATGGCAAGAAGGCCAAGTCCGAGAAGGCCCAGAAGGAGAAGTCACAGCAGGAGGGCGAACAGAAACAGAAAGCCAATGTCAAGGACGAACTGTAATCTTATTTGCAGATTAAATGATGGAGTTCGGCTTGAGCGTTATTTCCTGTGTTCAAATTTTCTCTTTTTTCTTTTTTAGGTCTACTTCTTTCGGAACTGCATATTTCTTTGGTACATGAAGGGCCAGCGCTCTTGATTATTTTGGACCTTTTTCAAGACCATGACCATGGTCTTGTTGCGCCCTATTGTTCCATCTGCCCTACTGAAGACAGGGGCTGTAAACTAGATAGAATATACTGTCAATGCCAAAAAGAGAAGTAAAAAGACACAGACATGCTGCCATTATTTATTTGTTATATATACAAGTGGTAATATTCTGATATGAATCTTAATATCACAAGGTACAATCGGCATAACTATGTCCAACCAATGCGGGTATCTGTACATACAATCGCTTGACGATAATCAGAAGCAACAAATGCTGTCTCAGCATATGCAAGGAGATAATAGAAGGAAACACCCGAACGCCGACCTCAACTTAACCAGAAGTTCAGGAACTCGCGGTGAATGACCGGAGCCCATCCAACAATCATACCGTGCTCATAGTAGCAATTAGATGGCGCGGTGAGCAATCATGTCCACACAAGGGTGGTCCAGTGAGAGGCAACATGACGAACAGTATAGACCAGCCTCCCATTTGGACCAAAGCTACATTAGCTCCATTCATGATAAGTCCATGTCAACCTCTTCGCGCCTACGAAGGAAGGTGGGCTCTTCAAAATCATCAACATCGATAGTCGCTTGTGTCTTCATGGCAACAAACTGACGTCGCTGCTGGCCTAGATTTGGTGTGAGGATAGAACGGCCAGGCACGGAATTCACCCCTGTACTCGGATCCAAGAAGTTCTGCCAGTTGTGGCCCGGATGAGTCGGCATTTCATCGAATGCCTCTTCGAGATCTTCGTCACAGTCGTATGATCGCTTCTGTGCGGTTGTCTGGACCGACTCAATTGATTCTTGGCTGCTTGGTGGGAGAGAGAAAGCATCTCCATCGTCCGTTATGAGCTGATCCATTTGAGTGTAGGACAGCGAGGAAGGATGAGTCATAGGTTGGGTTGCAGATTCGCCTGATTTCGTCATGCCGCAGAAGGGCGCCAGTTCGGTATAGGCAGTTGGACCTCCGACGCTCGGGATCTTATTTGTATAGGGGGTTGGCTTGTCTTCTGAATTAGGGATTCGAGTTTTGTATCCTTCTGCGACTGATTTGCGGATGCGCATGCCGACTGAAAGTAGCGATGCTTGGATTTTTGCATCAACGGCAGGTGTGGGGGATGATGTGGTGGTGGAGTAGTGGTTATAAGATAAGTGAGGGGCACATGAGCTATCGGGGTGATCTGTTCCTGTTGCTGCGGGGAAGAAGGAGGTTATCGGTGGTTGGAATCGCCTGCGCTTGGACGACATCTTGTTCTGAAGTGATGGAGACATCTTTGATGTAGTTTGGGATTGTTGACGATGGAGGGTTTAGAAACTTTTTCTTTTTTTCTCCTTTTAGAGCTCTTTCTCTCTTTCTTTGAAGTACACTGTGGGGGGAGGGTTATCCACTTAGAACCTGGTGTGGGAGAGTTCCGTACGAAGTTTCAAGAAGAATGCAGGCTATGACAGTTGACAACTGGAATGAAGAGAAGAGAAAGGTGATGACGGAAATGAGAGGCTGGGCGGCGGGAAACGCGACGCGGGGTGACGCGCATAAGCACGTGTCGCTCACATATCCAATATATCTTCTTTGGGACGTGACTAGGGCTTCCATACGTGAATGAGGTCGACTCTCTGCGTCCTTCACTATGCGATCAGACTAGTTTGGATCGGTATTGGTTATTTGCAAACCGGTCAAGAAAGTCTCGGTGGGACACTCGTCCCAATCAAGAATCAAAAGTTATTAGACGGGCAGCGGGATCCATTACAAAGAATACAAAGGACATAGTTATATCTTCTCAACGTAGATTTCAACAATGTAAATTCAAAAACCAAGCTACCGCTCTATTATAGCGACCAAAACTATCGACCATGGGCTGTCTCCACGTATATACATCGACCTTTAACCATTGTTTCCCCTCCTGCCGCCACGCTTCTGGCGGTCTTGATGGGCCTTCAATACGTTGCGAGTTTCCACAAGACTCCTCTTGCCTTTGTTTCTTGCTTTTCCGAGGGTCATGAAGATGTTCTTTCTGCGAGCCTTCTCCTTATTCGTAGTACTCTTACCCTGTTCCACCTTACGCTCCTTCCTCTTCGCAGTGATACTCTTATGCTCTGCACGATCAGTCTTCCCTTCCTTAGCATGGGCAATTCGTTCTTCACGAGTTGCTTTTCCGGCGGACAGAGCAGCCAAACCCTCAATCTCTTCAGCCGTCAGAGGATCATCCTTGTGCCGAGAAGCGTTGGTCTGACCACGGCGACCTTTGGCGCCTGGAACAAGTGCGTCAACAGCTGCTTGAGTGCGTAATTCTTGAAGCTTCGCCAGGTCTGCCGGTGTAAGAATACGTGTGGTTGCGATGTTTGCAATATCTGGCTTTTGAACCTCTGTCTTATCCTGCGCTGTCTCGGAATTGACATTTTCTTCATTATTGGCATCCTGCTTGGCCTTCTTTGACGGGCGTGCGTTCTTCTCATCGTCGGAGTCGCTAAGATCGATTTCAGCATCGCTTTGGACATCGATCCAGCCGCCGGAGTCATCGCTGTCCTCATCGTCTTCTACATTCCAAGCGTCCCAGTCGGCTTCTTCATCCTCCTCATCCTCGCCGTCTTCTGCATCAGAAGGAAGCCCCTTTTCGGCCCTCCTCTTCTTGCGCTCCTCTTCCTTCCACTGCTCGAGAAGCTCCAAGCCCTCGATACCACCGGTCGCTTCTTCTCCATAACGCTTCTCCTTCTTTTCTCCTGAGCGAAGACCGATAGATGCCTCTTTGCCGCGGTCACGTCTTTTCAGCATCTCCGGATTAAGGTCTCTGTAGAGACCGAGTAGACCTCTGGCTGCCATCACAACACCTTTATCCTTACTCTTTCTATACATAACAAGATCTTGTAGCAAAGTCTCATTCATTGCAAGTGGCTGTCGTGCACAGATCTCTCTGATGGCATTGAGACCAGCGGTAGCAACCAACGATGCCGATGCTTCAGATACGAACTCATTCGCGATCTTCTGAATGAGCGGTTCAAGCACATCCGGAGGAACCAAATCATGCGACGCTTGCGCTAGCGATGCCAAAAAGGAAGTGACCGAAGGTTGCCGTGGAGTGAGATATTTCTGGAAATAAGAGTAGAGTTGCATTATATGCAGCTTATGCAATCCGACAAGGCGAGTTACAAGTTGCAAAACTTGAAGCTTTTGCTCTAGATTGACCTTGGACTTGGAATTTTGCAGATGCTTCGAAAACAAAGCTTCTGCGAAGCCTTGAGGATCGTGTAGAAGATGTAGCGCAGAGAAATTCAATGGATGTGGTTGGTTCTTCTTGCGCTCCTTTCTCTTGACAGTTGCTTTCGCCTTCTCCACAGCGCGAGACTTCTTCCTGGTCTTCTTGTTGATACCAACCTGGTGCTTGACCTTACCAAGGTCTATGGCCTCTTCGTCACTGCTCTCATCTTCCATTTCCTCGCGCTCTTGATCTCCACCCAGGAAAAAGCGAACACCACCGATAATAACTTTCTCGTTTTCCGACAAACTAGCTTCCTTCATGACCTCAACAGTTTTCGCATCGGACCAGATCTGCCGCTTCCATAATTCACGAATGAGCTTAATGGCCCATAGACCCTTGGACGAGACACGGTCTGATGTCACCAAGTTATAAAGGACAGTCTGCATGGTGCGGTTGAGCTTGTGATTTGTTGTCTTAGCGTTCGAAGCACGAAGATCCATTAAAATCTTTTGGAAGATCAATGCTCGCAATGTCTTGCTGGGCGTCGTAATGAGAATAGGAAATAAGGTTTGGAGTAATCTGTAGCCACAATATTCAGTAACGGAATAAACCCATTCTGCGAATGACATTAACATACGTTGCAGAGTCAAGAAGCTCCTTCTTTCTCAGCAGTACTAGACTCCCCACGATCTTCTCTCGAAGTTCCGGCTCCAATACTAAGTGATGCTGCGTCAAGATGTCCATGAGCTGCTGAGGGAAGTCCTTGGTAATGTCTGGGTAACAGTCGGCAACGTGAGCAACAAAGTCGATCAGTTCGCGCAATGAGATAATGCCCGTATCAGTGGCCGACGTCGGTGCTGCCATGAAAATTTCTCGGTGACTCTCATATTGATAATGTTGAGCGCGAAAGTCTTCGATGTAAGATCTGTAACACGATGCATATTAGCAAACAATCGACAGGTATACCCATTTTCGAGTGCCGCGATTAACTTACTTTGGGTCTCTTCGAATTTTATGCTGTAAATTGGGTCTGAAGATCACGTTAGTGACAAGATAAATCTTCAACTCTCGGATGGAGATGACAATTAAGTACTCACAGGTCGGCCTCGACCTTTTCCAAGGCTCCCAGCTTCCTTTTTACCATTTTTCTAGGAGTATTTCACCAGTGACTCGAAAGTATGTGGTGAAAGAATCAAGGAAAGAGAAATCGGGGTGTGGGAGGTGGTAGTGCTCACGTTTGATAACGGATCTGAACTTTTTTTCCCACCACGGGATCGGGCAAGCCTATCGATAAGCGACAAAACGTCCGGAGCAAAGTGGCTCTGCGCAAGACATCTATGATCCGCCCATCCCTTGTAGAGCGACTTAAACCAAAAGTCAGGAGCCTTAGGTTAGAGAATTACCCTCCGTTCCTTAGATCTACGCGCTATGGTGAAGCTGAGCCACGACCTATGGCTTACAGCCAAGACGAACTACGTTGGTCGTTGTAAAGACAGAGCAACCTATGGAAATTTGAAAGATCTTTTTTTTTCGTTGAACAAAAATAAAAGGTACCGACTTAAAAGCCCAAGGTCTTCATGATCGCATCTCAGCTACTATAGAAGAAAGCCGTCCCATTATCGTTTTGGATTTTGCTCCCTCCAGTGACTGTTTTGAGGTATGTACAGTCGCGCAGATGCATGCCAATCGACTGAATCCTATAGAACCCCCCGTCCACTCCAGTACAGATAGAAACAGGACCAAACGGAGAATACGCCCAACATTATCCCTTTACCGGTTGCTCTTGGCAACACGCTCAAGCTCGTCCTTCTTCTTGATGGCATAGGAGTTCGAGCTTCCCTTGGCAGCGTTGATAAGCTCTTCAGCGAGGCACTCAGCAATGCTCTTGATGTTACGGAAAGAGGCCTCACGGGCACCGATGGTCAAGAGGGCAATGGACTGGTTGACACGGCGGAGGGGAGAAACATCAACGGCCTGACGACGGACGGTACCGGCGGAACCGATACGGGTGCTGTCTTCACGGGGACCGCAGTTGACAATGGCATCAACGGCGACCTGGAGGGGGTTCTGGTCGGTCATGATGTGGATCTGCGGAAGTTGTTAGTTTCTGGTGTCTGAGGTATCGGCTAGTCCACCACAAAAGATGCACGTACGATCTCGAAAGCGTGAGCAACGATGCGCACAGCCATGAGCTTCTTGCCGTTGTTGCGGCCGTTCATCATGAGCGAGTTGGTCAGGCGCTCAATGATGGGGCACTGAGCCTTGCGGAAACGCTTGGCGGCATAACGACCGGCGGAGTGAGGAAGGTAGACGGGGTTACGAATCTGGATGTAGTCGCTATGTGCGTAGATTCGAGTCAGCAAATTCCATTTCGTATATGCATCCTTTTCCGCATCCCTCTTGCACAGTTCATTCCTCTCCCTCGTTGTCGCATCATTTCCCATCCCAAATTCAACCAGGCGACGCTTGGACGGACGCGGTTTTATCGTAGCACAGAAAATCGCAAAGAATTGGAAAGCACCTACGTCAAGGAAATATCCCTGATCTCAACATCCTCGTAGCTCCACTTGTTGAAGAGCTTCACGGTTCCCATCTCCGCGACAGCCTCCTTGGGGAGGACCTGGAAGGCCGCAGTGTTTTCGACCTCGACTTCCCCGTGGTCAGACATTATGGACGCCGAATGCACCTGTTGTCGAGGGAGGGATTCGTAAAAGGTGACGGGCGGTGTCGTTGGGTGAGCGTTCAACGTCGACGATAGCAGTCGGTCGGCTGAAATGTTTCCTTTGGCTGCCAGGAAAATCGAGGTGCGCTCGCTTAGCTCTGTGGACACGTTAGGGCACTGGCCCAACACCAATCATATTCTGTAGGTCATGTGATGGTAGCGCAAGTGGTGCCCAAAACACTAAGCCAGATTTGGATTACATAGGTGTTGCTAATTCCCAAATGAGAAAGTAGTCCTATAAAACGCAGATGAATCTATTCTCGTACTACTACTTGACCCATATGTACAGTACAGTCAAAAGGGTGTTAGTCTCCTTTCCAATGTGTACTAAACAATTTCAGGTGTATCCTCGCTCGGCAAACAAGTTGTACAAACTGCAAAGTTTTCGAATTACATTTTTATCGGCGTAACGTACCTAGTCTTTGTACCAAACGTGTAATATCCAATTGGTTGTAAGGAAATATAAATGCAAAACGAGACAGCAAAACGATGTGTTTGGACAATGATAGTGGGCTTGGAGGCCCATCCACAAATAATACATCCGGTTATACTGGAAGTAAGCGAACATAACCATTGTTGTGAATAATCTTTAAGGATCATCCTCGTGCCCTTATGCTTATTTTCTGCTCTGTGTCGTGGCTGTGCAAGGAACTAAGTTTTGTTATTGGTTCCCCTGTGCTTGTGGAGACCGGCTTTGAGGGGCTTTAAGCCACGGCGGCAGGTGACGTTGTGGCTCTTCAAGCGCGGAGAAATAGAGGACAACCCGGAGTGAAATAGAACCACCTCACGATATCATCGCTAGGGGGCCACATAAGTCAGAGTGTCTGAGATTCCCTCCAGCGCTCTACGACTGACGCCTCAAGGATCCTGAGATGAAGATCATAGAACTCTTTTATCCTTCTAAACACGGATTCGCATGAGAGCCCCTCAACAAGTTCATGTTCAACGCTTCGAAAATGGCGGACGATAATCCAGAGCTGAATAGCGCTTTGCGGAACCTCGACAGAGAATTGGAGGTGTGTATGGAGCAGAGAAACCCATCAACTGCTCTTAAAGATATGGGAGTCATGCTTGCTTGACCGTGTAAGACTAACATCTTGGTAATCAGGAAGGAGATATCACGGAGAAAGGGTAAGCGACCTCTGTCTGACAAACATGGTGAATGAGAGCCGCCGGGAAGTGAGTCGGATGCGCTCAAATACATGATGTTTAAATTCAATACAATGGGGCATATACTATTTAACGATTGATGAAACTGATCTTCTTTTAAGCTATCAGAAACGCCGGACGCTTCTCCTTTCACAATTTTTTGGCCCTAATAGCGGCCTCGAAGTTAATACACCCGGCTCCGGGGGACCTTCTTCATCGTTGACGAGCTCAAATTATGTACCGCCGGCTATACTTAGCGTTCGACCGCCTACCGCCGACTCTACAACTCAGGGCTACTCTTCATTCACCAATGGACGTGACAGCGCCCCGGGTAGCGGAAGCTTCGGATACGATCGAAGAATCAGTGCGGATACACAACACACCGTTGATAGAGACAGCGCGTTCCTACAGGCTCTCGACCGAATGCCCTCGTCTGGCTCATATGACTCTCTATTCCTGCCGAAGTCACAACAAGCATCTGTCACACCAGAAGACACAAGGACCGCGACACTATTAAGTCAGAACTATGCATTCAACCCTGGTCCTTACCAAGATCATTTGGACGAGCCTGCTGGTGTTTATGAAATGCCACCACCTGGCGGAATCACGCGACAGTCGACGATGCTCGACTCACAGCAAGGATACTTCTCTGATTTTGCGGGACAACAACAAGATGATTATAGAGATAGCTATGGTGGGGGCGGCTTTCATCGTTACTCCCAGTCAGATGCATTTTCTCCCACTGCAAATATGGCACCGCCGTTGATACCTGCTTCTGAGCTGCCTCATGGGCCGGCAATTGAGCATTTGCTCCCTCTAGAACCTCGCGACATTCCATTTGCAGTTCATGACCCCCATGACAAGAATATGCCGATGTCTAACTTTGACAACATCCCGGCTGTGCTTCGGCATCGCTCTCGGATCCATTCAAAACAGGCTGCTTACTGGGTATTGGACCAAAAAGGCAAGGAGATTGCGTCGATCACATGGGAGAAGCTTGCAAGCCGTGCTGAAAAGGTCGCACAGGTTATCCGAGATAAGAGTAATCTATATCGCGGTGACCGAGTAGCACTCATCTACCGAGATTCCGAGGTCATAGAGTTTGCCGTTGCGCTCATGGGATGCTTCATCGCCGGCGTTGTTGCTGTACCAATCAATAGCCTCGAGGACTATCAAAGCCTTAACCTTGTTCTCACCTCAACGCAAGCGCATCTTGCATTGACTACAGAAAATAATTTAAAAAGCTTTCAAAGGGATATTACCGCCCAAAAATTGAACTGGCCAAGAGGTGTAGAGTGGTGGAAAACTAACGAATTCGGAAGTTATCATCCGAAGAAAAAGGATGATGTACCGCCTCTTGTGGTTCCCGACCTGGCTTATATTGAATTTTCAAGAGCACCTACGGGGGATTTGCGCGGTGTCGTCATGAGTCACCGAACGATCATGCATCAGATGGCCTGCCTTAGCGCAATGATCTCGACTGTGCCGGGCTCTTCAAAAGTCAGATCGCATGGAGAAACGCTCATGAGCTATCTCGATCCCAGGCATGGGATCGGCATGATTTTAGGTGTGCTTCTTACAGTATATGGTGGCCACACAACCGTCTGGCTAGAAGACCGCGCAGTTGAAACGCCAGGCCTCTATGCACACCTCATCACGAAGTACAGGGCAACTATCATGGCTGCAGATTACCCTGGCCTCAAAATAGCCGCCTACAATTATCAACAGGATCCAATGGCCACGCGACATTATAAGAAGAATTCTGAGCCCAACTTCGGAAGTGTTAAGCTCTGTCTTATAGACACTCTTACTGTTGATGCTGAGTTCCACGAGATCTTGGCGGACAGATGGCTAAGGCCGATGAGGAATCCAAGAGCTCGGGAAATTGTCGCTCCAATGCTTTGCTTGCCCGAGCACGGAGGTATGGTAATCAGTGTGCGGGATTGGCTAGGCGGTGAAGAACGTATGGGTTGTTCTTTGACTCATGAAATGGATCCAAATGAGCGCGAGGATTTCAAGAAGGAGGAGAGACAGTCAGAAAAGACCAAAGACAACAGCGGGTTTGGCAGCAGTTTGTTGGGTGGGGTTTCATCACCAGCTCCTGTCTCAAAAGAGCAAACAAAGAATGAGCTCCAAGAAGTTCTTCTCGACAAAGAGGCTTTAAAAAGCAACGAAATTGTCGTCTTGGCCATGGGTGAAGAGGCTAGGAAGTTTTCTGGGTCTATGCCACATGCCGTGCGCGTTGGCTCATTCGGTTATCCTATCCCTGATGCTACACTGGCTGTTGTCGATCCTGAGACAAATTTGCTGTGCACACCGAATGTGATCGGAGAGATTTGGGTGGACTCGCCATCCCTTTCCGGAGGCTTCTGGGCGCTGCCAAAACATACTGAAGCAATCTTCCATGCACGGCCCTACAAGTTCGAAGAGGGAAACCCAACTCCTGTGTTGGTGGAGCCGGAGTTCTTGCGGACTGGTCTACTGGGGTGTGTGATTGAAGGCAAGATATTTGTGCTGGGCCTCTATGAAGACCGTCTTCGCCAGAAAGTTGAATGGGTGGAACACGGACAGGAAATCGTTGAACATCGTTATTTCTTCGTTCAACATATGATCGTCAGTCTTCTGAAAAACGTACCTAAGATACACGATTGTACAGCCTTCGATGTTTTTGTCAACGAAGAACATCTTCCGATCGTGGTTCTAGAGTCATACGCAGCGTCCACGGCACCAGCAACCTCCGGTGGACCTCCACGGCAGTTGGACTCTGTTCTCCTTGAATCTCTAGCAGAAAGGTGCATGGAAGTCCTCTATCACGAACACCACTTGCGGGTCTACTGTGTCCTGCTCACCGCTCCTAACACTCTACCTCGTGTCACTAAGAATGGCAGGCAAGAGATCGGTAACATGCTCTGCCGCAGAGATTTTGATTCTGGAACTTTACCCTGTGTTCACGTAAAGTTCGGTGTTGAGCGGTCGGTTATGAACTTACCAGTTGGAGTTGACCCAGTCGGAGGAATCTGGTCCCCCCTAGCCCTGACGTCAAGACAAGAAATGCTTGCCATGCAAGAAAAGCAGTATTCGGGCGTAGACTACCGTGAAGTCGTCATGGATGATCGCACATCAACGCCATTGAGCAATTTCTCAACTATCGTGGATCTCCTTCATTGGCGTGTTTCTCGTCAGGCAGAAGAGCTAGCTTATTGCTCCATCGATGGCCGTGGAAAGGAAGGGAAGGGCATCACTTGGAAGAAATTTGACTTGAAAGTTGCCGCTGTAGCAAGCTATCTGAGGAATAAAGTCAAAGTTCGCCCAGGCGATCACTTGGTGCTTATGTATACCCACTCAGAAGAATACGTCTATGCAGTTCATGCTTGCTTCTGTCTGGGGGTGGTTGCCATTCCTCTTCCCCCTATCGATCAAAATCGGCTCTCAGAAGATGCCCCGGCTTTCTTACACGTTATCAATGATTTCAATGTGAAAGCCATCATTGTAAACAGTGATGTTGATCATGTGATGAGACAGAAGCTCGTTTCGCAGCATATCAAGCAGTCTGCACAGGTTCTTCGGATAGGTGTACCGGCAATCTACAACACCACAAAACCAGGGAAACAGTCTCACGGCTGTCGAGAGCTCGGTTATGTTGTGAAAGATGCATGGTTACAGGGAAGTACACCAGCAATGGTTTGGACTTATTGGACGCCAGACCAGAGGAGGATATCGGTCCATATCGGCCATGATACTATTATGGGTATGTGCAAGGTACAAAAAGAGACATGCCAGATGAGCAGTGTAAGACCCGTTCTGGGTAGTGTTCGCAGCACCCTGAGTCTTGGCTTCCTCCATACCTGTTTGATGGGTATCTATGTTGGTAAGCAGAATCAATAAACTTAAAATGTCTTCCGGGTTAACCAAAGCTTCTAGGGGCTCCCACATACCTCGTATCACCTGTCGACTTCGCAACAAACCCCATGACACTTTTCGTCACTCTTGCACGCTATAAGATTAAAGATACGTATGCTACCAGCCAGATGTTGGACTACGCGATGACTGCAATGGCTGGGAAGGGCTTTCAACTTCAGGAATTGAAGAACTTGATGATATCTGCTGAAGGCCGACCACGTATCGATATATGTATGTTCCTTGTGATCCGATCAGTCAAAATAGGTATGCTGACATACTCTTGCCTCCAGACCAAAAGGTGCGTCTGCACTTCGCTTCTGCAGGTCTCGACCGTACCGCAATCAACATAGTGTATTCTCATGTCCTCAACCCGATGGTTGTTACGAGATCATATATGTGCATCGAACCGATTGAATTATGGCTTGACCTTCGGGCTCTGCGTCGTGGACTTGTGTGTCCCGTAGATCCTGATACAGACCCAACTGCCCTTGCCGTCCAAGACTCTGGAATGGTGCCGGTGAATACACAAATAGCTATTGTGAACCCGGAGACCTGTACTTTGTCACATGTGGGTGAATATGGCGAGATTTGGATACAATCGGATGCCTGCGCCAAGGCATTCTACGGTTCTAAGCAAGATTTCGACCAAGAGCGTTTTAACGGGCGAATTGTAGACGGTGACCCTAATGTGGCCTATGTACGTACTGGTGATCTGGGCTTCCTTCACACTGTCACGAGACCTATTGGCCCTGGAGGACAGCCCGTCGAAATGCAAGTACTATTTGTCCTTGGAGGGATCGGTGAGACCTTCGAGGTCAATGGTCTGAACCATTTCCCAATGGATATTGAAAACTCCGTTGAAAGATGTCACCGCAACATTGTGACTGGGGGCTGGTAAGTGAACAGTCATAGTATTCCAGTCTGGCATACACCTGCTAATATAATTGATATAGTGCTGTCTTCCAGGCAGGTGGATTAATTGTTGTTGTTGTTGAAGTTACAAGGAAAGCTTACTTGGCATCTCTTGTGCCTGTGATTGTCGACGCTATTCTAAACGAGCACCAAGTTGTTGCCGATATCGTGGCATTTGTTTCTCATGGAGACTTCCCTCGATCCCGATTAGGCGAGAAACAGCGAGGCAAGGTCTTAGCGTCTTGGGTCACACGGAAACTACGATCTATCGCCCAGTTCAGTATTCGCGATATGGAGGGGCCAGAAAATCCGTTCTCAGAGGCCCCGCAGCATCGCGTCAGCCGAAGCTCAAAACCCGGAAGCATGATGGGCAACAGCACTCGACGATCTACCGTGATTCCGGATAGCGACTCAGCTGTACCCCGCTCACCAGCTCCAGTGCTTATGGAGCAGCCTGAAGCACCTGGTTCCTATCATGCTACGCAGGAAAGAGAAGGACCGGCGATTGATAGCCCGATCACCATTCCCGAAACAATTCCCTCAGTTCCATACATCGCGGAACCGACACGACCGACAACATCCTCAACTACTGGGGGTCTTCCGGCAAAAGCTGAAGTTCCCGCAACGATTGGAAACCCTGACTTTGGATTCGACTTCGGTGATTTTGCTAACTCAGCGGGCACAACTCCATTGGAAGCAAGCACCCCCGCGATTGAAAATTTACCTTACCGTAATCCTCCTAGGGGCGACTCTCTTGCCCATAAACAACAGCTTGCTGGTGTTCCTAGTGGTTTCTCAACTGGCCAACCTGATTTCTACGACAGACGGCCTGACGCACCGGACGTCGGTGCTGGCGACTGGCCACAAGAAGCTCTTATGTACCAGTCAACGCTGGGAGTTGATGATACATATGGTCAGGGTGGGGTTCACAAGTACACCCAGCAGTAACAATGACATGGCAAGACGGCGGTATGACGGAAATAACTACGGGATCTGAAAACACGCAAACTTCATCAGTTCACCATGCAACAATGGTCATGACATATAGATGGGGTAATTAGATGCAGATGCTTTGATATAGTGTTGGCTGTCTTGTATCCCGTTTCTGGCATAGAGAGTACTTGGAGCCCGCCCTTCTCTTTCTTCATTATCTATGTCCCCTAAACATTTCATCGCTTTTATGACTTTACAAAACCCATTGCCTCTTTAGCCCATTCCCCCGTGCGCATTTATCTTTTCGCTGTTGTCTTCGTTCAAATGATTTGTCTGCTTTACACTATGAACGACATTCAACGTTCTGTACATACATAGCCTATGAATGAATATGCTACGTTCTTTTAGCTATCGACTGGCAATGATATGATCTGTTAATCAACTAGCACCAGCTGCTTGGACACAATTACCGCGGTGGATTGTTTTCAAAGGGACTGGGACTAAGGCATGCTGCTAGGAAGAAGTCAGCGGTTAACTCCGTGGTGGATCCTAAATCATAAGGATGACACGGGACCGAGGTAATCCAATTGCCAAGATCCATAGGGTTTTGCGTTCCCACCTTCGACGCCTGAAAATATATAACGTAAGTTGGGTGGTACTAACAAGATGCGTGATTTCTAGCAGACTTTTTCTACAAAGTGGGTGCTTTCAAAAGGGAGGGTACACCGTACGAAGGAATGAAAACAGAGATAATCTAATCAGCTTTGATACCGGTACCGGATTCAACCTATAGCCGCTTAGTCACAGAAGAAATGCAAAGTCCCAATTTATACACAGTATAGAGCTTTCTATACGGAGCCCTGATTTTATGGTCTTGAATTCGCCACGTGAGGTTAATGGCGCCACTAAGGTTCTAAAACGGTCACGGGCTAGGCTAGTATCTACACCATTGATACCTACCTTAACCAAGAAATCGACTACAATTGCCAATACTGCTATTTTAGAAGCGATTTGGATCCTGGGCATTCAAGGTTGCAGGGTCTAGAGATTAAGGTAGACCCACTCGGATTCTTAAACCGAGAACTAGTATTATTTTACTTTTTTGCATATTAAGCGAGGTGAGCCATTGCAGGCTTCTATCTCTTACTTCGCTAACCTCTCCGGTATTTTTTATTCAGCGACAAAAATTACACCTATCTAGTCCAATATGGATCCGCATCCGCCTTTCGGCCATGCGTTGCGGACATCGTGTGATAAGTGTAGGGCTGCAAAGGTAATGATACTTCGGCATTCCGCGGGTATCCGATGATTGACTTGCTCTTCGACAGGTGAGATGCCAGAGGGAAGGGCAAAGCTGTGCTCGGTGTCTACAACGAGGCGATGATTGTGTCACAACTTTCCATCCCCGAAAGACGTCGAAACCGGACAGGTAAGTAAGCACGTTCTGGAGTTGCTTGTAAAGACGTCTCAATTTGAATCGCGTCTCTTATTTCCCCTATCATGTAGGCGAGGGAAGATTTTAGATATGGAAAGCCGAATTGAGCGCATGGAGTCGATCTTGGCCGCGTCAGGCCTCGCAAGCGAGGCTATCACTCCTGCCACTACTGGTACATCAACTGATCTGGATGACCAACTTTCAATGCTATTACTTCATGATGAGGGTTCCTCTACGTTTATTGGTAATCTATTGAACTTCATATGATATATAGAAACTGTACTGACGACCTACATACTTCAGGCTCAGCTTCGAGTCTCTCTCTTTTCTCCCCTGCTGGATTACAGTGGATATCCAGTAGGACTAATTCCTCGGACCTTTCGGATCTCATCCTAAGGCGAATACAAGCATGCCCTCCTCTCCTTGAATCAATCCGCCTATGGCATGGTCTGGACTATCGAGGACAAGTGTCACTTCCGCCTAAACATGTTGCTGATTTGTTTGTCGCATGTAAGATTATTTCCACGCGTATCAGTACACTTTTTCTAATGAATTTTCAGATTTTTTTGACACCCTTAATGATGTTATCCCTTTGTATCGAAGGGATAAGTTTGAAGCTCTGTACGAACAGCAGTATACTTCTTGTCCCCCAAAGAGCACATCTTGGTATGCCTCGCTCAATGTAGTACTCGCGCTTGGCTGCCTGCTATCGCATGAGGAGAATATGAATGTGAGCGCCGAAAGCTCAATGCTGGCACCTACTACTGCAGTAGACTACCTACGGAATTGCTGGAATGTTTTTGGTGAATTATCTCTCAGCTGCAGGGATCTTATGGCTGTTCAAGCGTTGTTGGCAATGGTAAAGTCCCATTCGGTTGATCCCAACTCCGGCTCAGGACTGACTGATGCATTCCAGGCTCTTACTTCAGAAATCCTACTTGACAAAGAAGCCACATACATTGCTTTAGGAGCCGCAGTACGAGTCGCGACTTCACTCGGCTTGCAGCAACAATTGAAGGACCCTCGCCTTTCACCGCCGGAGGTCTCTGAGCGATACATTATCTTCTGGTGCATGTACTCTCTTGATAAAAGCCTCAGTCTTAGGTTAGGAAGGCCTCCAGCTATTGATGATAGGGATATAGAAATCGATATTCCGGACGAGCGGCAGTTGGCCGTTACAAACCCGAGAACTGCTGTCTTGCTCTTGGCACACATGAGGCTTAGCAGAATCGCCAGCGAGGTTTATTCGGAATTATATAGCGCTCGCTCAAGGAGATACCCTGCCCTGAAAAGGTTTCGAACTATATCTGATCTGGATGCGAAACTTCAAGAGTGGTGCCAATCTCTACCAGTAGACGTCCAACCAGGAAAGCCCATCGTTTGCTCCAAGGAAAACGTCCGTCATGCGATTACGTTACATCTCGAATACTTCAACTGTCTAGCAACCCTACATCGCTGTTGGGCCTTTCAAGATCAGCTGACGGAATATGACGAGTTGCGCAATGATATGGCTCGCCAAGATTGTGCTGATATCGGAGATCGTGTCTATACTGGGCATATGATATGTTTGGACTCAGCTCGAAATGTCGCGCGTCTCTTGATTGCAATAGACAAATATGGCTTTCCTAAAAGGACCATGCTAGTTGGGTAAGGATCACCCCCACCAAGATGTGTACTAGAAATCAATGTGCCTGACTAGTCCTAGTCTCACACTGTTTCATTCACTTTCGTCGTTCATTATTCTTTTCGCCAATGTTATTCAGAATCCTGGCGATTCTTATATTACTGAAGACGTCCAGCTTCTGGGAGTCATTCTCGATTCCCTACTCCCCAGTCTTCAAGCCAGTGGGACGTTCCTACCCAATCTAGTCTCTGAAATATTTAGCAAGATGAGGTCAATGGCAGTGGAATATGTGGAAAAGGTGCAAGTCGAATTGAAAAACGTATCGAAACGGCCACGTCGAGACTCTGATGAGGCGATCATGCATCTTCCGCATCGCCCTACAACAAGTAACCATGACCAGCCGCGCAACAAGGGACTCATCTCCACAGCTGATACACACGTACGTATACACTTCCTTTGTTTGTACCACATGAGATGGAACTTGCTCACTGGATTCTAGTGGACAAACGCAAGGCATACTGCGAGCCCCAATCCTACGGAACCTACCAGTTTAACTGAAACGGAGTTACCGCACGAATTAGCTTCTAGAGATAACGCGTGGGAAACCTTGTATGACGGTCTCGATGATCATCTTCCAACGGATGAGATACCTCCCGGGCAGAATCCTTTCAATGAGAATTATAGCATGGCATCCTTTGCTGAGCCGTTACCTGGCTCTGTTCCTTTCATACCGTGGTCGTTGGATTTCGATTTAAATGATCTTTGGCAGTATGGGAAACAAGATTTATTTGAAGGGCGCTCCAGGGAGTAGTATTCCTGGTAGTTGTTTCAGATAGACTATAATTGCTAATATTATTGCTATGCTCTTTTATGTCCATGGGCTTTGCTTGAGTGTTTTCCAGATACCAGAACAAACAGACAAGGGAACGATGCATCACAACCCAGGGCATACTGATATCCGGCTAATCTGGAACCAGGATGAAGTCTACCGCACAAACTTCAAACCTTAGCCGATGGGAGATGCCCAAGAGCCAAGCCCGCATCTATCAAAAAAAGAAATTCAATTAGTATCTCGAAACATGTACATGGAACTGTACAACATACCAACAGTGAGCTGCTGACCTGTCGCGGACGTATTCTTCGCAAGACTGATATACGCGTCCGCACAGTCGTCTAAGTACGTCTAGTTGGTGTTTCCTATATTAGCGATATCTCGGTTTGGGCCTGCAGCCGATTCAAATCCATACCTCGTGTCTCAAGGTAGACCGCTCCTTCAATGCATCGATTATGTTGTCGCCAAACTTCATACCCTAGACTTTTATTCAGTATATCGCCCATACTAAGGACATTTGACAGCGTCAGTCAGTGTACCTACCCATTCCGTCAGAAGTAGACCCGGCAAGACTGCATTAACGCGGATCTCAGGCCCAAATGTGAAGGCAAAATGCTTCATCAGGTGCAGGCCGGCTGCTTTGGTGACTGAGTATGCCATGCTGCTGCCACCCGTCGTGATTCCCTACTTAGAGTCAGTCTTATAGCCAGGAAGATCAGTTGAGGTGGGTTCTGAGCATACAGCAATGGAAGAAGTAGCGATGTAGACGCCGCCGTCGGGGTTCTTCGACATGATAGGCTGCGCAGTTTGCATAAGCTGCAGGTGGGACATTACGTTGGCTGCCCAGCACTGGACGTTGCGGATAAGTATAATATTTTTTATAAATCTTCTTGTATCATGGGAGCATTACCTTGTTCCATTCATCGTGGGACATGTCGTAAATGTCTCCGGGGCGAGTAAAGCGTGTCCATCCAGCATTAGCAATGATGATATCTAAACCACCTAGCTTTCCCACTGTTGTGTGAACAAGCTGGTCGTTCTCGGCGGCAACGAGCGTGTCCTTGATGGGAATAAACGATTTAGCATATGGAATATATAAAGCCATGGAATCGAACTAATCCCTGTGAAAGATATTCATACAGCTTGGGCGATGTGGCACTTCACCGAGTACTCCTTCTCAAGTTTGTCGGCCAGTTGCTGCGCAGCCTCCGCATTGGAGTGGTAGTTGATGAGCACGTTGGCACCTTCTGCTGCAAACTTCTCGCATACCAAGGCGCCTAGGCCTCTAGAAGCCATTGCAGCTACGATTAGCCAAAGGGAGACCCCGGCGGTGGACAAGGAGCTTTCTCACCTGGAGCCGGCTGTCACCAACACGTTTCTTCCCTTTAGCGAGTAGGGCATGTTTGTCGGTGATTTGTAGATATAGTTTGCAGTAAGGGTGGAAAAATGAAAGTCAATTGGGTTCAGAGATTAGATCTAATGTATTATTTTGGAAATCAATATCTTGAGAGTGGCATATGGATTGTACGATGAGGGGGGCTTTTTTTTTTTTTTTTTTTTACCCCGCTTGCCCTGCATAAGGTCGTTAAAGATTATCGTGCCGAGGTTCGTTTAATTGATCTCAGCTATCTAAGGATCGTTCCCCCTAGTGAATTACTAGAGTTAAAATGAGTGCTATAAATGAAAAGAGAAATACGAGGCCGAGGCTTGTTCTGCAGGCCCTTTCCTAACTTCAGAGCGGAGGATGCTTCTCTTTAACGGCGGTTTCTCTACATCTTTGTTTCCGTGTCGATAGCAGAATTACGCAAAGTGAGAAGAATCTACCCATGTGATGGAGGTGCCAATCAAGGAGGTCCACACATGCTTGAGAGGAGATACCTTTCATATGCCTATCTTCGAACTCCTGGAAAGAGGACGTCTTGCTTCTGATGTAATGAAGCAGAGCCATACCTTCCGAGCAACATCTCCTTGAAGAACGGTACGTCCACCATACTAGTGTTCGAGGATGATTGAACCATCCCTACTACTCCCTATGGATCATTCCAAAAACTAACTGTATATCCCCGTCATCTTATTCGATCGCTCGAATCAGAAACACATATATATGTCGTAATAAGTCCGAAACACGATTAGTCGAGGTTACTACATTGTCAAGCCGCATTAATTGAGCCAGGACACTCAATACTTGCAAAGTCGTCTTGCTCTTCCTTTGTTCAGGCCATGCTGAGACTCATCAACACGCTGCCACACATGACACCGTGTGCGATGTGATGCAGACCAATATCCTCGGGGCATTTAAACTGATCTATCACCCGAATGATGTAAAACGTGCGACCATATGAGGAATACTGACCCCTAATGAAACACGACCTGGTCGTGCCTTTCCATTGTTGGCGTAGTCGAGGATGCGCAACGCAGATGGTTCGGCTATATAATCCCCTATTCTGACAGCATGGAATTATCTTTGGGGTACGCGTGTTCTTTTCAATTGAAAGACTCTAATGCCTTATCGATATATATGGGACATCTTGTTCCTGGTATTTGAGGCCCTTACTTCCATAGTATTGAGTACGGCAAGTAGTCAATTGCCTCACATTCATCATCCTCGGGCGACTTGAGGCAAATAACCTGTTGATGAAGTAATGAAGCTAGGTACATTTATGCATACGCCTGTTACAGAGAGATGCCAGAGCCACCAAAGACCTTTGTCAAAAGTCAAGACGAGGCGACGCTTCTACTGAAGAAAGCAATGTAATGCCGAGCGCATTGACGGTCGGTGCAAGATCATGCATAGACAATACCACCAATCTTGGGGTCGGCGCATTGTTAGCTTCGAATACCACCTAACCTCATAAAGCTTGCATGTTACGAAAACGGATTGTCCGCATGTAAAAATGCGACACGCATTCAGGAACATCCTGATTACACACACCGTCCGGCGGTCTTTGCCACGCCACACATCTATTTATCTTTCTTAGGAGAGCAGCAGGTATGCTTAAAAGGCATACAAAAAAATTTAAAAAAAAAAGATGGAGATGCGGGGAATTGAACCCCGGACCTTTCACATGCTAAGCGAATGTTATACCACTAAACCACATCCCCAGGTAGATGTTTGCGGTCTATTTATTTGAAAATATAAGAAATTTTGAAATAGTCGGGTTGCAAATTTTCCGGACTAAAGTTAGCTTTAACCGCAAGTGGTAGAGCGGCGGCTCCCGGACCCACAAGGGCGATCCCCGATCTAAAGTGATCTCCCCAGTCTCAAGTGTGTTCTTGTTTGTGCTGACATCGGCCATTGCCCTTTTGTGTCGTCTCTCTCGTGATTGTTTCAGACGTAGGGTTATAGATCATAAATGGTACGTGGTTTGTGCTCGTTGCGTAGAGTATATGTGTAGATTGTGAGTGCACCCTCAGGCGTCCTATATATGTAAATATATGTAGAGAGATTCGACATCATGGTTTGTAAATTAATGAAACCTCAACCGAGTGAGAAATTTTTGACATCTCAATTATATTATCTTTCGTACCATGTCATTCTGTACATACAAATATGCTTTTCAAGACCTTGCTTTTCTACCACTGAAGCCTTAAAAAAATAAAACCGAACCTGCCTCCCCAACCATGAATTAGGAAAAGATAAAGAGAAAAATTCGAAAAGGGTAGTAAGAAAGAAAGCTTAAGATTTATTGGCTCTCAGCTTGTCTCGTCAGGGCATCAATATCGACCTGGGGCTTGGCACTGCCGTTGGCAGCCTTAGCAAGGTTGGTGGCAAGATCACTTGAGCCGGTGAGGGTCTCTAGGGCTTGCAGGTCCTCGTCAGTGAGGGTGTTGGAGCGGATGGGCCGGAAGGGAGCAGGAGAGCCAGCACGGCTAGCCAGGAACTGCACGGCCGAAGTTAGTACGATATATAATGATGATTGCAGTCTAAAAATGAGATTGAGGAGCTTACCGAACTAGCAGCACTGAGCAACGCGATCAAACTGGCCTGGACAACGTCCTGGTGGATACCAACACCCCAGACCTGCTCCTTGCTACCGGCCGCAGTGCACTGGATGTACGTTGCGGCCTTCACCTCCCTACCCAAACCAATGGAGTGTTCCTTGTAGTCGACAACGTCGAGATCGATGCCGAGGGTAGACAAGGCGCCAGCCAAAGAGGAGATAGCACCGGGACCAACACCAGTAATAGCGTGTTGAACACCATCGATCTCGATGACACCAGTGAAGCGCCGCTTGAGGTTCTTGGTGTTCAGCGCCTTGCCAGGCTCGGGGGGTGCTGGGGATGTCGAGCGGTCCGTGGTGATGTTGTAGTCGACTAGGTTGAAGCGGGGGTTGGACTTGAGGTGGTATGCCTCCTCGAAAAGACCGACAATCTCGCTTGCCCGCAGCTCCCGGCTGACCTCCTCCGACTTCTTTTGGACGATCTTGCTGAACTCGACCTGCAAGGCGCGTGGGAGATCCAGCTCCAAGCTGCGCAAGATAACCCAAGCAGCACCACCTTTGCCACTCTGGGAGTTGACACGAATAACAGCTTCGTAAGTTCTGCCGATATCTTGAGGATCCAAGGGGAGGTAAGGAACTTCCCATTGAACTTCCTCATCTGACGCGGCTGTAGCATCATCACGAAGCTTGAAGCCTTTCTTGATAGCATCTTGGTGACTGCCACTGAAAGCGCAAACGACCAGCTGGCCGCCGTAGGGCCACCGTTCATTGACAGGGATCTTATTGCTTTCTTCAACAACCTTGATGACAGCGTTGATATCGGAGAAGTCAACATTTGGGGTGATACCCTGTGTGTAGAGGTTGAGAGCCAAAGTAACCAGGTCAACGTTACCCGTTCTTTCACCATTTCCAAACAGAGTGCCTTCCACACGCTGCGCGCCGGCCATCTGAGCCAGCTCAGCGGCCGCAATGGCACAGCCACGGTCGTTATGCGGGTGAATGGAGACGATATACTTCTCTCGCTCCGACACATGACGGCAGAAGTACTCAATCTGGTCCGCAAAAACGTTGGGGGTCGACATTTCTACTGTCGCGGGCAGGTTAAAGATAATGGGAGCCTCCTCAGTAGGACTCCAAGCCTCCTTGACGGCCTCGCAAACCTGAGCAGCGAACTCAGGCTCCGTGTCAGAAAAGGTTTCGGGGGAGAACTCGAAGTGCCACTCGGTACCGGCGGTCGAGGGGTCGTCCTTGGTGATCGAACGCGCGAACTTGGTGCAACGGACAGCCATTTCCAAACTCTTCTGCTTGTCCATGTTGAAGACAATTCGACGGAAGCACGGGCTTGTGGCTAGGTAGATATGCAGGATAGCCTTCTTTGCACCCTTCAGAGAATCCACCGTGCGGCGGATGAGGTCCTCACGGCAAGGGGACAGGACCTGGAGCCATACATCATCCGGAACGACGCCAGGAGTCTCCACCAGACGCCGGGTGAAGTCGAAGTCTGTTTGTGAGGCAGATGGGAATGACACTTCGATCTCCTTGTAGCCGATATCGACGAGCATTTTAAAGAAGCGGAATTTTTGTTCACCGTCCTGTGAAACCCCAATATGTTAGAATAACCAGTTTCGTGCAATGCGTCAGCCACAATTTCTCTCCCACAAGTTGTCATACCATTGGATCAGGCAAGCTCTGGTTGCCATCTCTTAGATCGGTGGCCAGCCACCGGGGGGCCTTTTCGATGACGTTGTTAGGCCATTGGCGATCAGGGAGATGCAGTGGCTTAAACCGTTTGTACTTTTTCGAGGGATCTTTGAGCCTGTTAATTTTACTGTTAGTGCATTGAGTTGCAAATAATCGGCAGGGCGTGACGTTGAGTGCTGTGGACGGGAAGCTCCACGATAACGGAGCTATGGAGGGGGAGGGGCAGTGGACTTACATCGGCATGGTAGCGGTTAGCGGGTGAGATCCGCAGTGGGGGAATGGAGAGAAAAGAGAGAGGGAGACAAAGGTCGAGGAATAGAAACACTCGGAATGGGGAGAGGTCAACGATCAAGAAGAAAATGAATGATAAGCTGAAAAAGTTTGAACGAAAGCAAACGAAGCAATTGAGGGTATTTAAGATGCGCAATGAGTCAACCCAATCAATTGCAGTGACTCTCCGCTTCAATTTTTCTCTCGCCGACAGCGGATGGCAAAAGCGGCGTATGATTTGGTACCAGACCACAAATGGGGCAATGGGGACGGGGTGACTAACACTGCACCTTTTCCTCTTCAAGACTTTTGAACCACTCCGCCTTGTTGGCTGACAACAGTCTAGTTCTAGTGGTCTAACGATGTACGATAGGTACCCTAAACCACATGGAACAAGCTGGGTCTCACTTTGGGACCGGGTCAATCACCGAGTCGTTATTAGCAATAGTATTGCTCGTTCTCTCATACTATTTGTGCAATGTGCGTTCCAGATGGAGTTTAACATCGAACTATTTGAGTCCGACATGTTTCATCGTCCCCAGTCGGCCGATGACCGGAGGCCTTTACTGCCTCAGGCCATATAAACAGACCACTTTCGTCCGCGGCAAACCGACAGTTTCCGGGCAGTTTGTCGATCCCCAAAGTGACATGACGACAAATCCCATGGCGAGGTCCAAAGATAACGGGTACATATTAGGTTAAGCTTATGGTTTTTCTTTGTCGCGAGTTAGCAAATGAGAGTAACCCTAATTTTAGAACGATATCCAGAAGTATGAGGTACATGAATGCATACATATATACAGGCAAGGGAAAAAGTTAAGAGTTCTAAAGCAGAGGTAGGCTGGTAACTATCAACGTCCGACTCTTCATTTCCCTCATTTCTTGCCCTTCTTTTTATTATCCTTCTTGCTCTTCTGAGTCTTCCCTTGCTTCTGAGATTCTCGGTCCACCTTGCCCTTCTTCCATCCAATATTTCCTTCGTTACGCTGGCGGGCGTCGTCGAGACGTTTCTTGTCCTTATTGCTTAGTTTCATCTTGTCCTTCTTCGACTTCACAGAATCCAATCCATTGAGCTCTGCGGCCCCTGCCTTCTTAGAGAGAATCTTTTCACGTTCACTTGCAAACCATGTGCGCTTTGGTCGCGACATAATTTCCGCTTCGTGCTTAATCATATTCTCACTCTTCGTCACCTGCATCTCCGCTTGTGCTAGCTGCTTTTCTATCTTCTCCTCTTCGAGCACTGCGTCAATTTCACCCTCAAGATCCTTGGCCGTCTTAGCCCATCCGTCGGCGACGGCTGGGTCGACAACTCGGCTCGCGACCTTGGCTCCCTGCGCCTTGCTAGCCTTGACAGCTGCCTTCACCACCTTGCGATCTGGCTCGGCAGCGATCGTGCAGGCTCGACCAGAGCGACCGGCACGAGCAGTACGACCGACTCGATGCAGGTAGATCTCATGGCTTTGAGGAGCTTCGTAGTTAATGACTGTTTCCACTCCTTTAATATCTAAACCACGTGCCGCCAGATCGGTAGCCAGTAGGAAAGAGACCTTGCCCTCACGGAAATTCTCAACGCTTCTTATACGCTGTTATTCATGTTAGTCCTTTGCATAGTGTGGTCAATTTGCGGTAGGCATGACATACCTGTTCTTGACTCATGCTACCGTGAAGCTCAGCGGCTTTCAACCCAAGGAGCCCAAAGACAATCCGTACACGATGTGCTTCTTTCTTCTGCCGGAAGAACACAATGACTCGTCCCGTGTAAACTTCCTTGCATAGGTGAAGAAGGTATCCCAATCGCTTATCCTCCCTTCCAGGTCGTAAACGCACGAATTCCTGAACTAGGTTCATGGAGGTGTTCTTCTTAGAGTCTACCATAAGTCGTACAGGCCGGTTAAGTCCCACTCGAATGAGCTTGTCCACTGAATCGGTCATGGTTGCCGAAAAGAGCATCGTCTGCCGTGACTTTGGAATGGTAGTCAGAATTTCGTTCAGCTCATCTGCGAAACCATCCTCCAGCATCCGATCGGCTTCATCCAAGACCAAAATCTCGAGGGTATCAACGGTAAAGCTTGCAGAGTTACGCATGTGGTCAATGAAACGACCAGGTGTGGCAATGATCACATCAGGGCGCTTCTTCAGGATATTCTCTTGCTCACGGAGACTGAAACCACCAACAAGTTGACAGAACGTGATATCAGTATAAGTAGCAAGTTTAGTAGCCACATTGTAGCACTGTACAGCCAGTTCACGAGTGGGCATCAGGATCGCGACACGGCTAGTAGGGACCTTTCGAGGGCGGAACAGAAGACGCTCAAGGATGGGAACAACGAAGGCAGCCGTCTTTCCTGAACCAGTCACTGCACTACCAACAATATCCTTTCCGAGAAGTGCCACGGGGATTGTCTTGCGCTGGATAGGAGTTGGATTTGTGAAGTTGACCGCAGCCAATCCACGCAGAATAGGTCGGGATAGGTTAAATTCCTGAAATGACCTCTTAGACAGCTCAGCTGCAGATTGTTCACTGGTCTGCTCCTCAGGTGCGAAGAAGGCCTTGCGCTTTGCTTCTTCTTCCGCATCGACTTCACTCTCGGCATCCGAGCCATCGTTGTCTGAAGCAACATCATCGGGATGCTGGACGGGAGTTGCAACAGAGTCGTTGTCAGAGGCGGCATCGTCGTCATCATCACTATTCTCATCTTCGCTGCCTGCATGCTCATCTTCGCTGCCCGACTCTTGAGCATCAGACTGCCCGCTCTCATCCTCGGCGTCAGCACCCATGCCGAACCCATCTTCAGCCATCAATTCATCGTCCTGGAAATCCACAGACATGCCTCCATCCGAGGCATCATCCTCATTTTCATTTTCCTCCTCTTTGCTCTCAACCTCCTGTTTCTTCTGCTTCTTTTTCGACTGAGTCTCTTTCTTCGCTTGCCTCCTCGATATGATCTCGTCAATATCCACTCCCTGTTTATCGCCATTCTTCTTCGCATCGTCCTTCGTATCACCTAGTCCCCATCCATCGAACCCTTCCACCACGTCCTTCTGAGCTGCAGTCCCGGCATCAAACTCAAAATCCGAATTCAGCGCACCGTCATCCTCCCCAGCATCCTCTTCCCCCTCTAGGTCTTCCTCCGGTTCAGATGTAGCCTCTTCACCTTTCTTCTGTTGTTTCCGGTTTTTCAATTGCTTCTGTTGCTTCTGTTTTTTGTTCTTACTTTGTGTTGTCTCCACCGTGTCCCTCTTGCGCTTCTTGGTGGTTGACTTCGCCCTTTCTTCGTCTACATGGTCGTCTCCATCTTCATCGATGTCGTTGAACGCATCGTTTTCATCGTCGGAGAGTGTAAGCACGAAATCGTCGTCTTTGGGAGAACTGGGTTTTTTTGGCGGTGCCATTTTTTTCGGCTTATAAGGGGTAAAACCCGGTAAGCTAGTAAATTATGCGGTCGCTTTTCAAGAAGAGCAGAATGAACACGAATAATAAGAATAACTTTTGATTAGAAAGTCCTAATGTCCTCCCAGACCCTTAAGCTGTACTCACTAGTTCATATCTTTTCGGGGAAAAGAAAAAAAGTTCAAAACTGCGGAGGCGGTGAAAGGTTACAATACGGCAGAAAAGACTGCGGACTGGCTTTGGGGATGAATTGATTGGTGGTTCTTTTTCTCTGCTTGAACTAAGCTGTGATGGGACTAGCGTAAAAGTATGGACCTGACGCATTGCCAGTATTCCGTACTTTTGGAGGTTGATTTGCTAACGTCTACTAGTATACCTGCTATCTTTCATGTTCCTTGAGTAAAAGCACGCTGTATCCCTCTGCTCTTTTCTTTTTCATTTTGTACTTTTGAGGTATCTTGACCATACGGACTTTTTGCCATCGAAATTTCTTAAAGAACAACACAATCTGAAAATATGACGAAAAGACATAAGAGCCATCTAACCCATATTGCAACCAATTTAAGAGTTGAAAACCATATCTGCCAAGTCCAACGACATTAGTAGCAGTCTGTGAATCATGGTCGTAGGGGTTTTTTTTTTTTTTTTTTTCCATATTTCTTATGTTTATTTGCTTTTTGGTGGGATCAGCTAAACCATTCGGATTGTCTAGCATTTTCCGATCGATGTGGATATTCCGGTTCAATTCAGGTATCGAACCTATCGCCCGCATGGTAACCAACATCTCGAACAAGGTAAGTGACGTTGAGACTGGCGGTAATCAGTGGGTAAGCTTTACAGCTATGCTTCCTTGATCCGGGAGGGGGACTTACAAATGGCTAAATTTGACTCTTGCACCCTTGAGTCGACCCTGCTCTTCAAAGTCGTACTGTCTTTCGAGCCACTCTTCAACCCAGCTGTAGGTGGACCTTTTGTCATAGGGGTAACTGATGGCAAAAAGAAGGCGGCCAAGTCTGCGTTGACCTCCTGCCCAGTAGCCGGTGCGGTCTTCGGTATTGCAGTCAAAAAAATAGCCACGCTTCGGAATGTAGGTAGGGTCGCACACTTCGAGAAGCTTATCAATTAGGCACTTTCCAATACCCTTGTGTGTGTGCCCAGGCTTAACAAATAGCTCCAGCTCTGCTGTAAAACGACCACTAGTTCTGCGTCCCAGGTAGTCAGTCGCAAGCGCATAGCCCAGAATCCTTTGAGGACCACTATTCGACGTTGCCCTGATTCTGCGCTCCGCGGCAACAATAAACGGCAGTTTTTCGTCGGTACAGTCATCAATACACTGGCGAATATCACCAGCTTCGAGTGGTTCGATATAAGTACTCAAAGGAGAATTGCGTGCATACCAGTTGAAGATTTCAAGGAGCCCTGGGACATCACCCATTTCAACAGGACGTAGGTAGACGTTCTCTTTAAGCACACTGGCGCTGGGCTGTGGAAAATTCCTTAAGCCTTCAAGATAATGCTCGCGTGTGATTTTCCTTCGAAGTTGCTCTTCATTACGCTCCTTTTTATTATGAAGCTCCCAGTTGTGGCAATAACCTTGGACAGTTTCATGGCAATGGAGCTGCGACTCTTTATCGTCCATATCCAGGAGAGTCGTTTGTTCCTCTAAGTATGGAACATACATGGTGCGTATGCCATCTGGATGCGCGGTCCCATCAAAGAAAGCGTGATGGTAGATATCAGCATAGCAGCAAATGTGAATGGTGCCGTCGAGCCAACGACGGAACCAATCGCGAAAAGCCTCGTAACTGGAGGAGCAGGCATGGGGATAATACTCCCAATTAGCATAATAAATATCTGTCCAGCTATGTTTCCGCTCTTGCCCTGACTCTGCATTCTGGCCGCCAGTGCCACCCTGGAGCCCAGCAGTTTGTGCAAGCTGTGCTAGTATACGTTTGTGTTCATCGGTTGGCTCGGATGACAGGTTCAGCTCCCTATCTTTAACAATAGGGTAGACAGTAGGACTGCTTTCATAGCATTCCCACTGAGCAGCTACTTTATGAGCCCCAGATACGCTGGGTTTAACAGACTTGTGACCACCACCAGACGCTAAGGCCATTATACCGGGAACGCTTGCCGATTGTATTGGAGCAACACGGCAGTCCTTGATTGATAGGTAAAACTCCGAGTTTGGATCGGTTCCAGGACCAGACCTGCATCTTTCGAGAATTTCAGGGTTGGCTGTAGGGTAGTCAAGGTCCTTGAAACGGTCTAGATGTGCCTGTCGAACTATCTGTGCCCGGAGGCGGTTAAGCTCCTCCAACGCTTCTTCTTTCGAGCTAGTTGGACTCGCTTCTTGGACAGGCTCGTTGCCAGTGGGAAATTTTTCCTTACTCGTTCTGATAGCTTTCTGTCTAATATTCTGTTGAACGTTGCTTGTTACCTTACCAGCTGCGTGTCTGCTCTGCGAGTGGCTCGAATTGCACTGGCTAGTCTCGTGGATATTATCATTTTGAAGTGCTGGAGTGATTTCGGCATCAGTATTGCTCGTCTTGCTTCCATGATGAAGAAGGACCTCATCAGACTCCTCACTGGTAGTCATCTTAACGGTAGCTACTTCCCTGTCTGATTGAACATTAGCCTAAGAATCATAATTGAATATGGTTCCTGGATTTCTTACCAGCTGCATTCGCGCTTGATATTATACTCGGGAACGGGGTCTTGGGTGGAATACCGTTGGCCTTCTGATTCACTGTAGATCTTGTTGACTTGGACCTGGACTGGAGAGATTCTGGGGAAGGATGATTGATAGAAGCTTGCAAATGTTCAGTTCTACCATGAGATGAATTGATGAGTTCATTTGAAAGCTCACTGTGTGGTAATGATCGCCTCTCTCTGGTATGTGGTGCAATATAAGGAACAGGTGAAGGTCTCCAAGTCTTTGCACGGTCTTTGATACGATACTTCGGTATCACACTCTGGTTATTTCTATTTTTTTGTGGAGTATGATGTCTATGAGTTGGATCACTCGCGATCACATATGAGGCTGCAGTGAGATCTTTCAACTTTGTAGATGATGAATGAGGCCAAGCACTCTTGTGTTGTCGCCTGTAAGAAATATGTCTTGAAACAGGTAGCGAATGGTCTGGGGCTTTTGTTGGGGTAGACGTTTTCTTAGGTTGACAGCTGCCTTCAGGTGCACCAGTGAGCTTAGTGCATAAAGTAGATTTGTGGCTGTCTGAATGTTGGGACTGCTGGGGATCCGGATGCTTTGTGGATGTTTCGCATTTGGACGTAGGATAACTGGTGTGACTAAACTTCCGATCCATGATTTGTATGCTAGATTATCGATTAGGGTCCTAAGACTCTGTGAGATGAAAGTCAGTATTGTAATTCATCAAAAGCGTTTTGTAATTTAGCTTCAGCAGAGTAATGCACTGTTTAAGAACAAGGGCTTGTTACCTTTGTCACAAATGTTATATATGTAAGCTTTATGTGCAGAAACGGTAGGTCATAGTTATATGAATATATGATTGGTGGAAAGCAAATGATGAATACAGTAAAAGCTTTGTTGCTATGGATCAATAGCAATTGATTGTAGTCAAGGGGGAAGTTCAAAGAAATTCACCCAATGTCAGGTGCTCAGGTAGAATGGCGTTTGAATGCTGTACTTGATGAGAGAGCCTGTTGTGAAGGAAACACTCTCAAAAGGAGGCCCCCTCATACAGCCTGGAGTCTCCTACTAGGTGCTATCCTTGTTTTTAAAATCCTACTTTTAATTGGAGTTACTCTCGGAAATAAGTTACAAAATATTAAATCAGGAGTAAAAATTCTATGAAAATGTGAGTTGTCTTGTTAGGGTTCTGCTCTGGTCTTGGGTGGTTTGGAATTTGATCTCCGCGTCTCGTAACGGAAACCTCAGCTATGACTTTGAACCCAACCACACCTCTATTTACCCTTTAAGACAATCAGCACGCCAACGCCAAAATGCTGTCTATTCTGAGAAAAGCCCGACTAAAAGATAAAGAGATGAGAATATTGATGCTGTATGTTAAAGAGGTAGTATTTGTTGGTCAAGATACTGAGCCTCAACCACAGCGGTCTTGATAATGCCGGAAAGACCACGATAGTCAAGCGGATTATGAAGGAGGATGTCACCACTGTTAGCCCAACGTTGGGGTTTATCATCAAAACTATTGATTTTCAAGGGTATTTGGCCTCATACTCTAAACTAGAGTCTATTAAATTGCTAATAGCTTCTATGCAGATACAAACTCAATATTTGTAAGCAGCGCCATCCCATTACCGCGATTCTAATCCACTAACTTGTGAGGAATAGGGGATGTAGGAGGGCAGAGGACATTGCGCTCATACTGGAAAAATTACTTCGAGAAGACCGATACTTTAGTCTGGGTTGTTGATGCAACAGATCGTCTGAGAATCGATGATTGCCGGGATGAACTTGCAGGCCTTCTTCTCGAAGAGGTACGCTGCCAGTTCCGCCTTTCAAATTTTAGTTTTGTCGGAACTTTTGACTAACCTACTGTTCAGCGACTGACTGGAGCAAGTCTTTTGATATTTCTAAATAAGACTGACGTTGAAGGCTGCATGACAGAGGATGAAGTCCACAAGGTGAGTACCTCTTTTTTTTTTTTTTTTTTTTTTCCCTCTTTTGTTTCCTTCAATTTGAACTCCCAGCGACTTCTTTACTCCTCTCTCCGCACCCCGCGAATAATTCTAACACTCTCTCCAGCGGCTTGAACTTGAATCGATCAAGACCCATAAATGGACGATATTGCCCTGCAGTGCTATGACGGGAAAGAATCTCCATGAGGGTCTAGAATGGGTCGTACAGGATGCAAAGGACAGACTATTTCTTTATTGAAAACAATACTTGATAAGTTTAATGCTAAGTAATAATGGACACTAGTCAACATGAGCGCTGTCCCCCATTTCACCCACTTGCACAATCTAAAGAGACAAAGTGAATGTTTAAGTATAAGAGCTCAACAGTATCACTAATGCTTCCCATATCTTAAATAGCTACTGAAGCTATGCGGAATTTCTTACTCTACGCTTCTTTCTATTAGATGTGTTACATTCCGTTTTCTTTTTATTTCTTTTCATTTGATGTGTTTTTCACTTTTTGTCTTTTATATTTGGAGATGTACAAGGAGTTTGTTTCGGATATGTCCTGATGGTACGATCTGACCAGAGAGAGTCAATGTGTTGTATGGTTCATCAATAGGGGCTTGTTTTCACCAAAACGGGGAGTATTCAAGCCGATGAACCTTATCATTAAGCGCGATTTATGTCTCATAACTTCCAAGGTGTTGTTCGCTGTCATCTTTCCACTTGTGGGTCGAGAAGCAAAATTGTCTCAAGCCATCCGTGAATCTCTGCTAAGTTGTGACCTCGGTTTTCATCGGCAATAGTCCAATGCGAAACCACCTAATGGAGAATCAAGAGCTACGTATACTCTGTATATTTCGATTATAGTAAAACCTAATTGACTTAGTTGGCAATCATAATTTATCCATTTTGTTCGTTATGTTTCCGATCGCGGGGCGGTAAAACCCATGAGATTAAATTGGCTCCACTGCCGCAAGAGCCGAAGCCCGAAAAGGATTGTTTTTTTTTTTTTTTTTTTTCTCGTTTTGGTTGGGTTGGGTAAGGGAACGTAAACAATCTACCGGGTTGAGGAACAACAAAACATTGTCGTAGAATAACGTCTTTCAAGATCCATGGTTGTGTCTGTCTACTTCTATGTACCTGTAGTTGAATGAAATTCTATCCATCAAAAAAAGCTACAGCGACTTAAATTTTAACCCTTGCTGCGAATTTACGCTCCGCGTCTGTCTGGACAGGAATTGAAAAGTTGACAGAGTCTTCTGTGCCTAAGAAAGAAAATACTAGTGTGGCCAACGAATGGAATGCCTTGCGGTCGGGCTCCTCTTTTTAGCAAGGATGTACTTTTCCTGGTGGGGCTGCCGTGTGATGTGCGTCCGTCTTTTGGGCTTGTTGTTGCCTTTCCGATGATTTCTGCTGAACGCTGGCCGCTGATTAGGTGTTCAAAATGGCCATTACCTTACCACTAATCTACTACCTAACCTAACTAACTACGAAGTACCTCCCTCAGCTGGTACCCATCGCTGACAATTATTGCCATCGGGCAGCTTGAAGGGTAAAAAACGCCGAGGAAACCGACCCTCCTCTTGATGTCTTCACTGCCACTGGTGAGGTTCAGAAGAAAATTGACAGGCAAAGAGGGAAAAGGAGAAGCGAGGTTTGATTAATATCATTCACACTTTAGTCTTCTGTCGTGCCGTGGAACTGAACTCCAAGCTATTCTTGTTTTTCCATCGGGTTTATTTAATAAATTATTATTAACCCATCTGACTGGTTGGTTAATCATATGCCCAATAATTATTGACTTCTCCTTACCAACATCCACACCCCTCCGTTGGTGCGCCGCTCGCCAAACCCCACAGTTCTCGTCTGCCGTTTGTTTCTTTGGGAGGCGTTCTTTGTTTTTTTTTTTCCTTTTCCTTTCCTTGTCTTTTTCACTTTCGACTTGTGACATATCATCTGCCGAGATGACCATGTCTTCCTCAGTCGACGCCGAGGGTTCAGAGGATGTGAATGACTTCCTGCTTCGTATCCGGGAGCTTGGAGAGAAGCGCGACAAGGAAGACGAAGAACGTACCAGGAAACTAGAGGAGGAGATTCTGCAGGGCCGGAAGGAAAGGCAGGCTCGAAGAGCTGGTATATCTGGAATCCCCTAATCTTCTCCCAAAACCATCCGTGAGCCATGACTCACGGAAGACTGGGCCTTTCCAAGAGATCCAGGGTCAGAAGCTGATTTTGTCCTCTTTGCGAAACCAATGTAGAGCGGGCACGGTCGATATCGCCGACGAAAGACTCTCCATCCATACTAGATAATGCTCGACTGAGCACCTCGTCGTTCAGCCTACGAGCCATCGATCCTCCCGAACATCTTGAACCGACTCCCCGAACCCCAGACCATGATATCAACAGCAAATCGGAAGCCATTCGCGACGACGAATCCGTAACTACCAATGGCAGCCGAAGAGGATCTAGAGTAGATATAAACGAGTCAGAGTCATCTCCTAAGGCCCCTTCGGTTTCGCTACGAAGCAGAGCCGGGACGTTGTCCTGGCAGCAACGGCCCTCATCGCGAGAACTCAATAGACCCTTTTTCTCTACTTCCCCCGTTCGGGAAAACCGCTTGAGAGCCATGTCAAGTACATCGACCGATGATCGTGGATTGTCTTGCAGCTCAACATTGCGCTCTCCCACAAAGGAGACTCCCTCATTGGACCAAGCAGAAAAAAACGCTAACTCCCCCATGCGGACAATGACTGTCGAAGAAGAATTCCAAGAGCTCTCTACACACGACAAAAGCCCTAAAGCATCGGAGGTAGAACCGGAAACTACGAACGAGCTGGAAAAGGAATCAAGTCAACCCGAAGTTGGAGAGATACGATCACGTTCACCATCAAGGGCAAGCTCCACTTTCGCAGAAAGTAGTCTCGGCCATCGATATTCAAGTGTTTCTTCCGTCTCAACAGCTACAGGACTAGGATCACCCGTACCTCTGTCAAGCGCACAAAAGTTCGAGCCCCGAAAGACAGAGGCAGACTCAGAGGACCAAACGGCGACGCCACTATCGCCCAGACGTCTCTCCCCGGAACGTTCAACTTCGCCAACCAAGGGTCTTGGAGGCTTTGTGCAAAGCGCCATGATGAAGCGATCTGATAGTGTTTCAAAACGTTGGAGTGCTCAACTTCCATCTGGATTGAGCCGCGGCCACTCATTGGCAGGGAATAGAAATAGCTTCGCTGCGCCGAGTAAAAATGACCTTTTGTCTTCACCTCGACTTACACCCGACAGCTCGACTTTAACAACGCATCGACCGGGTTCTAGCCACAGACCAAGCTCTAGCCACAGCGAGGCAACGATTGTCAAAGAGAGTGAACGCCCAGCTACTCCGCCGATTCCTAGCGGAAATGGCGCCACACGACCCGATGGGAGCCCCGGAAGGCCACAACTTGAGCTCCATACAAGATCTGCTAGCGCTTTGGAGAACCATGATGCTAGCTCACTACCTCCGAGTAGCCCTGTGGTCTCTAGGACTATGGATCCCAAGCGTTGGAGTCCAACCAAATCCACCTGGCTCGAGAGTGCTTTGAACCGTCCCGATTCACCAAGGCATAAGAAACAGCCCTCGCAATCAACAACATGGAGCAGAGAACGGCAGTCAAGAGGCAGTATCGATATGGGCCGGTCGAATACCTTTAAAGAAGTTACTCCTGTAGGATTGATGCGTACCGCCGCCCCTGGCAGCCACTCAAAATCATCGAGTGTTTCTGGAATGCCAAATTTGTTCGGTACACCTGACACGACAAACAAAGCAAAGGAGACTCCAGCGGAAACCACCACACCTGACACCGAGGGCAATAATATACCACCTGTGGAGGAAAGCTCTACAGACCCTTCAAAGACAACGGAGACTGTACCAGAGAGTACGGACCAGACCGCCGAGCCAACCACCACTAGACGCAAGCGTGCCCCAACATTATTGACGCCAACCTCGAACGCGAGTTTTGATTCACCTATCTCGCCTACTAGGATCTCACCTACTAGAGACCCCTTGTTGAACCGACCGAAGCCGCAGTCCCCTGTGATAGATTTCCGTGCCAATCTCCGAAAGCGAGAAGTTGTTAAGGATCAAGGACCCAAGGAAGAGCCAGAGTTCAAAAATGTTTTTGGAAAGCTGAAGAAAACAGAATCATCGAATTATGTCCCATCCGACGAGCTCAAAGATAATATACTGAGAGGGAAAGCAGCATTGAATGCTTCGGGAGGTCCAAAGAAAAACCAGAAGGTTGACGAGCTCAAAGAAAGTATTCTGAAACAGCGAGAGGCAATCAAATCCAGCGGAGGCTCATTACGGCGCAATACTGCTGGGGAAAGCGATGCTCCTATGAAGGTCGTTCCTGAAGCCATTGCGAAACGGCATAACCTGACAAAGTCCAGCAGTGCCAAAAGCAACGTGTCTGATACGCCTGCCTCCCTTTCTCCTAGGGACCCCGGGACACCACAGCTTTCACCCCAACTTTCATCAGAACTTGAGCGTGTCGACCGTTCTCCTAGCCCACAACTTCCCACGGAAGAACATAAGCCCGACGTACCTGATACCCAGGAGCAAATACCTGAACCCGATTATCCTATCAGCAAACAAAATAGTAAAAATGAGGCGAATGAGGCGAATGAGGCGAATGAGTCGAAGGGTCCGTTGGAAAATGCGGTAATTGGAGAGCAGAAGAAATCAAGTGAAGAGACCATCCAACCGGTGCGTGCTTTGCCATCGGGGAATGTCAAGCAGGCCACAAATCCGCCTGCTTCAGCTGAAGGTCTTGCTACTAAAGGTAAACTCGCAGGCCGAATAAACCCTGCCTTGGCAGGCCTCTTATCGCGCGGTCCTCCCGCGGCAGTAAATGGGTCGAACAACGCGTTGCCCGTGAATGATACCGTGTCGTCAGCCCCGAGTCCTGCTGCTGCCCTCACGCATATGACGAAAAACCGCGCCAGGGGCCCGAAAAGACGTCTCCCAAATCCCGTAGCTTCAGAAGCCATAGATCCCCCATCAAAGGAAGCGACAGAATCGTATGAGATCCCGGACTTTCCTGATATGAACGAGCCTGAAGACTTGGATTCCGCACCCGAGGAGTCAACCCCTCGAGAGAGCTTGCCATCTTCTGAGATGGAAGAGAAGAAAGATCCCATACAGGGTTTTGGACCAAAGGCAGAATCTGCTACCCGGGATATTTCGCCACCTCCAAATGAGGAAACAGGTGCCATTATAAAAGATTTGGTGCCCAAAACAGAGTCTACTACCCAAGGAGTCCCACCATCTCTTGATATTGAGGTAGACGCCTCCATGGACCCCGCACCGAAGGAAGAGCTTAGTCTTGAAGAGCCTCTACAGTTCTCCGATACCAAGGAAGACCAACTCCTCACAGTGGACTCTGCACCAAAGGGAAAGCCTGGCTTTCAAGATGCGCCACAGTTCTCTGCTAGCACGGAAAACGAAGCCCCTACCGTGGACTCCCTATTGAACGAAGAAGAGATCATAATTCAAGAGCCCGTGATGCCCTCAAATAAAGAGGGAACAATTCCTGAGAATTGTACATCGCAAAGAGAAACTATCTCCTCCAGGCTAACAATGTCCTCTAACACCGGAGAGCCTGAGACTATGAATCCTGCTTCCAAGGAAGGTACCGATGTCCAGCAGATTCCACTACCCTCGGAGATCATGAGACCTGAACCCATTGGGTCTTTGGAAAGTGAGGAGACTGGTTCCCGGAGTCTGCCGTCCCCAACTATCATGAGATCAGAAGTCCCCTCTACGGACCTTGTGCTCGAAAAAGAAACTGAACCACAGGCAGACCCAACTTCGCCTAATATCAAGGAACCTGAGGCAAGTCTATCTCGTACTCAAAGCCCCGCAGGCAATTCTAGCGGCTGGCCGCTCCCTGATGGTTATATTCCCGCGCCTGCTGCGTCGGAAACAGGCTTGGCCCAACCTTCTCCATCAACCACGGGCAAGCCTACCGAGTTCAAGAGGAGTATTCCTCACATGGCTGAGAGAGATTCCAAGCAGAAGTTTGGCGAACTTCAGTCTAAGCCAGCCACAGAATTCGAGAAACTCACGCAGAAGTTTGAGAAAGCCCATGAGGACATAGAAAACCGGCGCGATTCATTTAAACCAGTCCCTCCGCCGAAAGCAGCCCCATCCACACCTACCCCCGAGTTTAGGCAATCCAGAAGCTCGCCAATCCATTTTTCGTCTCCGTCTCCGTCTCCGTCTCCTCTCAGGTCTAGCTTCAAACAAAACCAAATCTATCCTTCTCCGACTGCTTATCGAAGGAACGCCCCGGGTATGTCACCGTCTTCACCCAGGGACAAGTCTTTACCATCCCCTCCTGTTCCTCCTAAGTCCAGCCCCTCTGTGGACCAAGTTTCGTCACGAAGATCTTCGGCATCGTTAGTGCCCCAGGCCGACGAGTCTCTTGAAGCCATTTCTGGCTTCTTCAGGACATTCCCCAATTCAAGGGATTCCGTGAATATTGATGCTCAGCTAATGCTGACGAGCAAGAACGAGAACCAGAAGATTAGGACCCTGAGGAAGCAGATGTGGGAGATAACAGGTGATGGCAAGAAACAAGATCTCCCAGTCAATCAGGAGTACATCCTCTACGAAGGCAGCATGTATCTCTGCGTGCATCTGTTCGAAGCTAACGGTGGTGCACGGTCAGAGGCTCATCTTTGGTGTGGTGATGATGTTCCCGATGCAGCAATAGATGACGCGCAATCTTTTTCGAAGAAGGTGGCCAAGGAGAATGGCTGCAAATTGGAAATCATCAAGCAGGGAAAAGAAACAGCGCGTTTTATCCAAGCCCTCGGCGGAATCCTCATAACCCGTAGAGGTCTCAGTTCTCGTTCCAGTTCCTCAGCCTTCTTCATGCTTTGCGGCAGAAAGCATCTAGGCCAAATGGTTTTTGACGAAGTGAATTTCTCCCGCCAAAGCCTGTGCCCCGGCTATCCGTTCGTAATATCTGCCATGTTTGGCAAGGTATATCTGTGGAAGGGCAAAGGCAGTGCAGCTGAAGAGGTCGGAGCCGCTCGGTTGATTGGAATGGACCTTGGCTTGACCGGTGAGTTCGAAGAGGTTGCTGAAGGAGAAGAGCCAGAGAGCTTTTTTGAGTGTTTCCCACATTATGGGGAATCCGAGGGTTACATGCGCCCAGATTATTGGCGGCTAAAGCCTAACCATGCATGTTATCGCCCGAGACTACTTCGTATTGACCATGAGCTCGGTCAGCAGCGGCCAGCAGGGTTCTGGCTGCGCCGGCCAGGTTCCGCGTCCCCGGTGATCCGACCCAACGACACTGTCCAGGAGATCGAGCCTTTCTGCCAGAAGGACATCAAGGCCAATGGTATTTATATCTTAGACACCTTCTTCGAAATCTATGTGTAAGTGTCTCTGTCAATGCAATACGTTCAGGCTAAGCTTCTTTGGCTAACCATACTATCTAGGATTGTCGGCGAACAAGCGTCCAACCGACCGGCAGAATTCGTATCTGCCGTGGTATTTGCACACGAATATGGCATTCTAGCTGCTTCGCTCCAAGACCGGCCATTCATTCCTAAGAGTTTTGTGTCCCTTGGCGGCGTTCCGGGTAGCTGCTGTACAGCATTCCGCAAGTGGGAGCAGCCTACCCTGCGGATGCCCCCACAAGTCTTTCCCTTGAACGCAGCCATCGAAGCCATGCGCTCCTAAATAATCTTTGTTCTATTCTCGGTTTATATCTTGTTTTCTTTTCAAATTTCTCTTTCCCTGTCTATAGATATTTGCATCTGGATTGTGCATATACTGGTGTCTGTACAGAGACTGTTGTCAACCGGCCAATGGATAGAACCGAAAGGTGGGTATGAGGAGCATAATCCAAGGAGCCTAGGGCGGGGTGAATTTGGGCAATTGTCTGTATGCTGTCAGGGGAGTTTGGAAGCCACATCAGGTACATAGTGGTGGTTTATTCTGCATATCCGGTTTCTCTTCTGATGTATGATATTTCGTGGCTCTGGCTACGTATCTAGATAACCATCGCACGGTCCCATCCATCTGGACTTGGGCAGAAATGCATGGTATGTTCTAGTGACTACCCAACTTGTTTTACTATTTTCGTGCATACTTGAAATTAAAGATATACTTAAATAGTTAATGGAACATTGCAATAACGTAATTCAACAAGTGGTGACTAAGAGCCTTGTTGAGCATTTCATAGCTAAGCATGCAGTAAAAAATGGTACAGTAGTGGCTTTCGAACTATGCACAGGTCATATATAGTTAAGGTTGCTGCATGCCACACATGCTTGTGCAGGAGACGGGCTTCCTTTATCGCTATCAGGCATCATGGTCAGATTCTAGTATGGCCTGAGGTCGAAATCTCTCGGCCCGACTCCAGCCGGCCCACTCCGATTCGTCATAGACGGTCACCGTTCCATCATCGCTTAGTTTATTTTTTTTTCTCTGTCAGTTTCTGCAAGAGGCGCATCTAATACTGACAACGCCTGTGGGAGATATTCGGCCCTTTCCTTCGGCTCACCTTGATCACAATATGTCTTGACTGATTTATACGAACAGTTACGTCATACCTCACATTCCAACATGGAGACACTAGACCCCGCGATTCATCGCGAGCTCTCCCGGCTTGACCCCGCAGTGCCTTTCCGCGCATCAGCCGAACATATCCATCATACATGGGCTAGGACGTTCTTCTCGCGGCCGGAACTGTATATACAACCGCAATCGATTGAGGAGATTCAGAAACTAGTGACTCTAGCTCGTCGGTGTCGTCGTCGCTTGGTTACAGTTGGTAGTGGACATTCGCCTTCCGATTTGACATGTACTTCATCGTGGCTGGTTAACCTAGATAAATTTAACCAGGTGCTGGATATCTCGTCTGAGACTGGTGATGTGACGGTTGAGGCGGGCATTCGGCTAAAGGACTTGGGGAAACGTCTGGAAAAACATGGTTTGACTTTGTCCAATCTGGGGAGCATTGATGAGCAGTCCATCGCGGGTGTGATCTCGACAGGCACACATGGAAGTTCCCTGAGGCATGGACTGATTTCTGAATGTATCACATCGCTCAAGTTGGTGCTGGCGAACGGGCAATTGGTGCGCTGCAGCGCAGCCAATAACCCATCACTTTTCCGTGCTGCTCTTATTTCTCTTGGGGCGTTGGGTATCATTGTCGAGGTCACTTTCAAGGCGGAGGCATCCTTCAAGGTCGCGTGGCGACAGACTAGACGTTCACTATCAAGTGTCCTAGCTGAGTGGTCAACCGGCCTGTGGACCTCTCATGAGTTCGTTCGCGTCTGGTGGATGCCATATGAGAAGTCTGCTATTGTTTGGCATGCGGACAAAACGGATCTATCCCTTCGCGCACCACCAGCGACGTTCTATGGAGAGACGATCGGATATCACATTTATCATAATTTATTGGCGCTTGCCAATTATTTCCCCCGTATTCTCCCATGGGTTGAGTGGTTCGTCTTTGGTCTGCAATATGGGTTTAGATCGGAGGTAAAAGTTACGGAAGCAGTTGAACCCGCTCGCGCTGGTCTCTTGATGAACTGCCTTTACTCGCAATTCGTTAATGAGTGGGCGCTACCCCTGGAGAAAGGTCCAGAGGCTATCATACGCTTGTCGGCTTGGTTAAATGGAGACACCGAGACGGCGCGTATTCCCTTCCCTGTTGAAGGATTATGGGTACATTGCCCCATTGAGGTCAGGGTTGCGGATTCGACACATAACAGGAATCTTCGCCCATTCCTTGACCCTAGTCATCACGACGGCCCAACATTGTATCTCAATGCGACTCTATATCGACCTTATCTCCGGGACCCCCCTTGTAAGGACAGGTACTACGAGGCGTTCGAGTGGCTAATGCGTGAAATGGGTGCGAAACCACACTGGGCCAAAAACTTCAAAGTCACAGGACGCCATGAGCTGCAGGAGCTGTATGGGAAGGACATGGATGAATGGTTAAAAGTGCGTCAAGAGGTTGATCCCGATGGCATGTTTCTGGGAGAATGGCACCGTCGCAACCTTGCCTTACATGGTGGCGAGAATGATGAAACAATTTCCACCGAGTCGAGGGTTCTCCCGCTCCTAGAACGCGAAAAGCTCCGTCGGAAGGCAAACTTCCGCGGGGCTGGCGACGGCATGGAGTGGATTGGAGATAAGCAGCCGCGGGGGGATTCAGGGGACCATGTTAAACCCTTGTTGATGCAAGAGAAAAAGTATGAAGGTTCGTCAGAGGGGATGAGCCCAACGACAGTAACTAGCGAGGAGAGTTTCGATCTTCTAGCGACTGGCGAAGCCAGCACTCTCCTCCTAGATGAACGCTCATGATGAGTGAAACATGAATAGACGAATTCGGAGTAGCAAACAGAGAAAAATAAAATAGATCAAAAGGGTAAAGACAAAGTTCATCCATATTCCTTCCTCCTTCTCTTTGCTCCCAAGAATCTTTGCGTTGACTGGGCGATATTGCCTGCCAATCATTCGTATTGTTCCCCTCCGCCTACCTTAAGGTTATTTTTTTTTTTTTAATGTCCGTCTCTCCGTTCTCACTAGCCATCCATTGTTTGTTGGACCGGAGTTTTCACCCGAGAAAGAAATGACTTGCAATCTCTCCGAGTTTTGTAATTCATCTATAATATCTATCCTCGGGATAGCTGTTCCTCGTGTCAAATATTTTCATGTCATGAGAACGTCTTTCCTTGTTATATTGGGCGTGCTATACTCTATACCAAGAGGAACTAATGACCGGAGGTTGGTCGAATACAGCAGGCGAAAAGGATCCCAATCCATACTATTTTCTGAGTGACATCAAGGCTGAGAAGCTCAAAAATATGACACGAACCTGGTTTCGAAAAGAGACTGTCATGTATTAGAAATTTGTCTGACATGGCACCTTATTTGCGGCCACTGTTGGGAGGATTTTCAATACATACATACCGCTTAGGGCCATGTATATGCAGAGATGTGCAGATGCTTCACATTTGGCTTTCTCATTAGCCATTCTGAGGCCAAACCCAGTATGTGTTCTGTCAACCTTCACCAAGCATCGGCGCTGTCGGATACACTAACATGTTAAGCCGAGTCACTGCGATATCCCCTTTTGGCAGAGGTCGCAGACAAGGATTAAAGTCATAGCACCATCCTTCTTGTCACGACAGAACGATGGACATATGCATGGGGATTTTGTGTAATGATATTACGTCAGGCTAAATCCTGACATGCAGGCGACGCCAGGATGCTGTTCTTGTGGAAGTGAGATGGATAACTGCTGTTTCCACTAAACATCATGGATACTTTCTCTGTGCTTGTATTCTTGTGGTAGTAATCTATGGATCAGCAGATTGCAATAGGCGTATATCAGTAACGTTGCTGGCAGAGAATCGAGTGTCAGTGATGACATTGTTGTTAGTGTCGGGTTGTTCATCGCGGGGGCACATGAGATCACGTTCATTGGCTCCGGTTCCTGGCCCCGGCCACCACAACCCCTTCTCCCTTTAGGACTTCTCTGCTTTCCACTCCCACTAACCGCTCTCAAATGTCTTCACCAGCATCCCTGGGTCCTATAATACGCATATTTCATGATGAGGAAGTGAGGAGTAAACCAGCTGTCTTCTACAGAGACATCTGATATGGACCGAATACGAGTGATAATTGCTAATATGTTAGCACTGAACTGCGCCACATCGCCGATTGGTCCCCAAAGAGGAACTATACTAGTAATTTGACCGATTTTTGTGAGCCCATTTCGTTGGGACGTATCGATTTCAGTCACGTCTCCGAATAATCCAAATCCGCTATGACGAGTGATGCCAACTTCAAACCCCTCTTCTGCTGAGCCTGGATGCGAGTGGACGGGCCTTTCCTGCAGCTTGGACTTGTCTTGCAGTCGGAGGTTCCTCAGCCGCTAAGCAAGTTAAAGAAAGAGGGGCAGCCGTGTACCTGTCTTAGTTCTTAGCCTTCGTGCTAAAGAGGGGATCGAAGGACATGAATCCTTGCTTTGCAATCTGTCAGTGTCTTGCGGGACAAAGCTACTGGCCAGGATTTTTTTTTCTTTTTGCCTTCCCTTTCTCATTCTCTCACTTTTTTTTTTTTTCTATTTTTTTTTCCGTCTTTTTTTGTCTTTACACCTTCTCCACTACTTGTGAATAATCCGTGCAGATCCAACAAACAATAGTGACATGGGCATGCCCATGCCATGTATTGCTTTTTCTTCGGCAGCCGAGGACTCGACCATTCGCTGCACGGTAAGTACGTCCATGAATCTACTAGGCCGTGCATAAACAAGAATATTGTGCGACCTTTATGCGCGTCCTAAGATCATTGGAAGATGCTGGCTGAGGTATCTTGATTCGTTCTATCCTGGCTAGCACCACCCATTGCAGCTTCTTTACCATCAGAGATTCATCGATTCACTAGCCTGCCTGTCAGGTGATAGTTTCAGTCTTGCACCAACAGGCCGTGTCTTCAACTCTGCCTATTTCTTTTTTTTTTTTTTTTTGCCCAGCCGCGAAACCGTCGCGTCATACACGGGATGCGATTCAAATGCATAGACAATTGGATACAGCAGTACACCACACCGCCGCCTTGAACGTTTCAGAGAGGGTTGTCTCTTGACGTATAACTGCTGTACTGTATATATTTACCTTGATCCGATATTGCCGCGCTGATCGTACAACCACTTTGGGCAAACTCGCAGCCCTGGAATGGTGGACTGTACCGTACCGTACAATATGAGAACGAGGAAGAAAAAGAAAACAAGGCTAATGAAAAGTACCCCTTATTGGATCAGCAGGAGTCAATTCTCTTGGCAGAACAAGTGAGCCAGGATGAGGCACGCGCTCGTCCACTGCATATGATAGTCGAAGTGTGATGGAGGGTCAATGCGCCAATGACAGCTGTCAGAATAAACCGATAGGCGCCCAAGAAACCATAAGCTGATTCTACTTGCGATATCGCAGCGGTGTCCTCTGGCCTGCATGATCCTTCTTCTCGATGATGATGCAAGAACAAAAAGAAAGCAGAAGAGAAAAAAGGAAACAAACATCGCCGCCTGCTACATCTACTTGAGGTATTATGCATAACTAGGGGGAAATAATGAATACTACAAGGACCGCGTGCCAGAGGATGTGATCTCTGATGCTTACTCTGCGCTTCGCTGCCCAAGGGGGCAAGGATTGTTCCCAGCTAGGGCCGATCTAATGAGCGATGTGATGGCCGTCGTTTTTCGGCGTTGACGGCTCGGACCGTCAAGCCTGACCGCTGGGATGTCATGGCCAGCGAAATGGTCACCTGTGTTGATGTGAGCCAGGCCAAGCTCTTTGTGTTGACCGCGGGGACCCCGGTCTATCTACTAGGCTTCCACAGCCACAAATGACTGAGTGAAGTCAAGCAACCGGACCGGTTGATATCGTGACAGACCGTAATCCACGTCACCAGCAACCTGTATACGGTGTACATAGAGGTGGGGAAGGAAGAGTATGCATTCGGGCGGGGCCCCTGCGACGCAGATGTGATTTTTTTTTATTTTCCCTTTTTTATTTTTTATTTTTATTCTGATAAACGTGTTATCGACATGTGCTCGGAAAAGAGCTCTCAGCCTCTCTTTTCCCTACCAATATCAGGCACCCCACCTGCTTGCTGCTCTTTAGAAATCTAAACATCTACCCCTCCCCCTCCTTCCTGACTGACAGCCGATTAGTCACAGCTCCTTTTTATACCCAAGCTTTTTCAACCCAGTAGTCGCAGAAAATCACTCAATTGCCTTTCCATCTCCGCTAGTATTCTTGTCGCATACTTGTGCTCTCTGAAAATGATGTCCCGCCAACCGAAGCTACGGCCAAAGTCGCACATTCCCGGCTTTCCAGATGGCATGTACGATCTTGCGACAATGTCGTCTTTGTCGCAGTTGGAAGCTCGCGTATCGCTAGGAGAAGATAAGCACGACCAACGTGTCTTTCGCGTTAAGCGCAAGCATGTTCTCAAGGCTTGTGATCGCTGCAGAGTCAAGAAGACCAAGGTTGGTGAAGCAGTCAAAACTCCCATATTTTCTTCTAGATTCAACAGCCAGTCATGCTCATTCAGCTTAGTGTGACGGGAAACAGCCATGTAACCGCTGTTCCGCGTATAACCATCCATGTCTCTTTCGGGAGAGGAAGGCTACGCAGACAAAGGTCTATTCGCGAGGGTAAGGACATCCACATTCCTCCTTGGGCGCTTCCAGCTCAGCGGCTTATGAAGGAAGCTAATACTGGTTTGATGACTGAACAGGTTCGTTGAAATGCTCGAATCGCACCACTCACTTGTCGTGAAAGCACTACAGAGGCTATATAAGCTCTGCCTAAATAAAGACGGTTTTCCGGGAGAGCCCCTTACAGAGTCCCCTGATGGTTATCCTTTGACGCACGCAATTTTGGACCGCCTCGGACTAATAAAACAGGCCGAGGAGAATGCAGATGAACAAGATGAAGACTCAGAAGATCTTCAATACCTGCGGTATATGGCTTCTACTGATTGCAGCGCAACCACCGATCCATCTCCAGAGCCTGTTACTCCCCCGGAGCCCTCTCCAAACCACTGCAGTCCTGTAAACTCCTCCACTAAGGCCGGTGGTCATTATAAATGGGAATACCAACCTGTTCACTCGGCTCATCATGAACAATATGCCGGCTACCAACATTCGGGGTTCCATAGCGTGACAATGCCTCGGTCAGCGGTGGAGGCAGCTGGCCTTGTAGCTGAGAGCAAGTGTTCTGGAACATTACCTCCAGTGTCTAACACAGAGAACTCATATTACTATTATACGGGTACCAGTGGCAACGCAGAATCAACGAAAGGCCCTCTTCATCCTGGAGCGACCGCAGGACCAAGGACTCATCATCATTCTACCGGTATGCCTGCTGAAATTCTCGGTAACTATAGCCTTCATTTGTACGAACAACAATCGCTCTACCAGGGCCTTGCACCTAGCTGGGCATCCTACCCATGTGGTTAAACTTCTTCTGACCCTTTTGAGGGGAATCTTTGTCCTGTACCCTTTTCTTGATCATCTTTTCCTTGGCTAGTATCTTTTATCTTTCTTCTATCTCGATTCCCGTTAACGAGGTCTTTATACACGCGTAGGACGCGTTGGCACACCCATTTGGTTTCCTTTCTTCACCTTACCTCTCGCTTCACTACCGTCTGAGTGCGTGGCATATACCCCTCTCTTCATCCTGAGCTATCCTCAGACCTCTTTTACCATCAATATCCAGCGTAGTAAACGCATGGCCCTCTTATGGGAGACAGAAGCCGATCCAAATCGGCCTGCCCAACCTTGGGCAAGGTCGAGGCATTGATTATGCCTATTGTCTACTTTCATTGGTGATAGCTGTCTATCAATTCAGTACCTGAAATGGCCATATCCCCAATTGATAACTTTTCACCTACGCTTTCGACCATCTAGGGCTTATAGTTGCACATATGTACCGGGGTTTTAGGTCAATGGTGTCTTTCTTTTTCATCTTACTGCTCGGGTCTGGAGTTCTCACTGAGCCGGCCGACCTGAGTACGCCCTGAGCAGCATGAAGAATGAAAGAAGTCGATCACTGGGCCGGAGGAGCACGCGGGTGAGTAGGAGGTAGCCTCGAGAAAGCAGCACCAGTATGTTACCCAAGTTCACTACCCCTTGTAGTCTCATGAACTATCATCCACTCCGCTGCGAGAATTGAGGACTGTTGTTCTATAGGAAGGGATGAACAGCAACACATGCGTATGGGCAGTAACCAGAAAGCGGTATACATCTTATGTATTCATATTAACATTATACCACCTTCATAACTGACTGGCCTCGATTAGGAACACTTTGGCATTGTCCTAACTCATCTAGACTCACACGCTCAACATATGATAGCAGATTCTTGCCCTAGTCCGAGAAGACAACTCATACCACTCTCTTTTCAAACCCTACTGGGGAATTTACTCAGCTGTCTACTTGGAAGGCCGACTATGCTAGCGGTGAGCGTTGACACCAAGCAACTACTTCCAGAAAGTTGCATAACGGTGCCATGGAGCGTACATTATATCGACGCATATCCTGGGTCATGGGAAGATTAATTCTCATGTGCTAATCCGTAGCAGTCAACCAACCATGTCCTAACATTGGGGTGGTTTTTTCGTCTCTGCAATAGGCTCAAGCAAGTTTATGTTTCAAGCCAAAACTACTATGAAATTAGGTTACAATCATCTGCTGCTATAAGACAATGCAAGATGAATCCTCCATAGTTTACAAAAGATTTATGCGATCCTTATGAAAAATAAAAGAAACATGGCTAGTCAGTGACCATCACACATATCCGCTAATAATCTCAATTTCCACCCCTGCCCTTTCACATCATGTCTGTACAGTTTATTCACCTACATAGATCTAGCCAAGAACTGAAGAAAATCATCACTAACACCAATGTTGCCTTGACTGGCCTCTATGAATGACTCCTCAAGCTGCTATTAGCCATCAAAGTCATCCTGTCCTTATCGCGGTATCCTATGGAATCCCTAATACTTTTCTTATCGAGACGAATCAATCGACGAGCCCATCAAATACCCCATGCGAAAGAGGTAAGTCAGAGTTGATGGCTTCGTACAATCTGGTTTGCATGGGCACATGAATGTGAAAACATGTTAGCAACTTAACTACAATCGGACTTACTTTTGCTCTCAAGCTAATCACAGACCACAACGGTAACAAGACTCCGAAAGACAAAGATATAAACTCCCTGATATAATGCATAATCTAACAGGTATGTAAGAAATAAATAAATAAATAAACCCGATATATGTAGTAAAAACAAGCAGAAGAAGATATCATAAGGACAGAAGGGGGAAGATCTCCTTCTCATCCTATCTCTCCAAATCTCCTTCTGCGCCGTCTTATTCTCGACTGACATCGCTTTCTTGTATCGTCTGACTAAGTTGTTTCTTTTTTTGTCCTTTTTTTCGTTTGTTCCCAATTTCGCCATCCGCTGGACCGCTTAATCGTCAACGTCAGTCTCGGTGTTGGTATCACTGGTATCTCCTGCGTCGCCGTCGGTATCACTCTCATCTTCACTAGAATCATCTTCTGGCTTCTTAGCCTTTTTCTTGGGGGGTTGACCGGTCTTCAAGGCCTGCATTTGACCGGCAATAGAATCTGTAGTTGATGGTATATTAGCGTGGTCTCTAGATAGGGATACAACGTCTAGTAAAAAGAAAGCCGTACCTTCATCGGGCTCACTGATATCATCCTCTTCCTCCAGCGCAGCTGCCTTAGCAGGATCATCGATGTGGAGCGTGACTTCCATCTTCGTGTCAAGACCAAGGTAGCTGTCACAGAGCAAGTGCATCACAAAGGTAAAGTCCCCGACCTGGGGGGGAGCCTGGAACTGCATTTTGAGAGTCTGGACATTGAATGTAGGCTTTCCAGCTTCGTCGAACAAGGGTTTATCAAAGGTAGTGAAGGTAAATGGTGGAACGGCCATCTTGCCCTGCTTGGGATCGGCCAAGAAAACATGCCAACGAGGAGAGTGATCACGAGCCAGATATGGTGCATGAGCCAGTGGCGGTTGAATGGTTTCAACCTTGCTCTCCACCTTCTCACCGTTGGCGAGCTTCTTTGTCTTGGTTGGCTTGCGACCCATGAGAGCATCGAGATCATCCTCATCAGGGTCAACGTCCTCAAGGTCGGCTGGGGTCACTTCCGGAACGTTCGAATAGCCTGGTGGGATGAACCGTGCTTTGACAACGAGCTGGACAAGACTGCTTGGCGTGATAACCTTCTCTCCCATAACCTTAAAAAATGCTCTAGAAACTTCGAGAGCGGGAAGCTGCTTAGCAACAGAGATGGCGCTTGCGTATTGCTTCTCAGACAAAAGACCTGCACCCACTGTGAGGTTGTGTCGCTTATCTTCTGGCAGGCTCATGAACCTCTGAACGTTGAAGTGGGTTTTGGCGTCTTCGCCTTCAACAGCCTTGACGATGTCATCAGTGAAATAAGGCAATTGGAGAAGGGGGGATGATCCCGGGGCGATGGCTTGAATTAAATTCTGAGAAACTTGGAAAGACCCCAAAATGGGACGAAGGTTACCGAAAGCCAGGGAAATGGCTGTGAAGGCTTCGTTCAAAGAGAGCGCAATGGGGGCGGCCTCGTACTTTTCTGTACGAGTATGTTATTATATTGACCATGTAAAGTACCCTTTGATCAATGCACAACTTACCTCCATTGAGTGTAGCATCATTTAAGTCAATGCGGCCAAGATAAGCCCACAGCAAAGCAAGCGCCTTCCGGCGTGTAGAATCATCCAGTTCCTTAAGCTTTTCACGGTCTGCAGAAGAGAGGAATGAGGAATCATCTGCCAAGACCATCTTTTCCAGCTTCGCCAGTCCTGCCTCTGCTTGCGAGCCCTTGAGCATATCCTTAAACTCGTCACCAGAGGAAAGAGCCCCGACGATTCCACCACCGGTGATACCATCCTTGTATTCCCGGAAGATGTTCCCTGCACTAGCGACCAGGACTCTCTCCTTGGTGTATCGCTGCGAGCCATACCACCACCGACCGACGATGTAAGGGAGGAGAACACCTAGTAAGCCGCCATAGACGAGCAAAACGTACTTCCCATTTCCCTCCGTGACAATAAATTGCGGCAAAGCAATACCAATGCTGAAGCTTTGCTTGCCATCGGGATGGCCATACTGAATATAGTTATTACGAACTTCCTCATCTGTGAGTGCTTTGTAGGCCTTGGTCAGCTCAACGAAACGCTCGTTGAGCATTTCAATAGTCTCGTTCTTCGCGGGGTCTGGCCGAATTTTGTCGGGGTGATAGATAAGAGACAGACGCTTGTAGTGTCTAGAGATCGCTTTTTCATCGGCGCTCTGATAGACGACGCTAGTCAGTTGATAGTCTCCATCGAGTGGGCTTTATATGGAAGCTCACCCTTGAGATGCCGAGGATGTCATATGGATCCCAGATCTTGGGTGCTGTTCTGGCAGTGACAACAATCAAATAAACCATCCAAGCCATAACTGCATATCCCAATACAACGGTAACGATGCGCTTAATCCTGCGCTCCTTGCGTAGACGCTTACGCTTCTGTGCTTCAATGAGATCGCCATGTTCCGGCCTGTAGTCCGATTTTATTCGAGGGGCGGTGTTCTCAAGCTCTGCAATAATTGATTGAAAGGTTAAAATCCGGATAATATGGAATCAGCGTAAATCAAGACAAACGTCGGTACTGACCTTTGCTCGGCTTAAGAAGGTTATATGTTAACGGGAATGTAACAAGACCCGTAAGGGTTAGGATGAAGAACGGGAAAAATTGACCCTGAAAGGAGGTATGGTTGTTAGCTACTTTACCGAGAAGCTTGGGAAAACAGCTGAGTACTAACCTGTTCATCATAGGTGTAATCTGTAGACATGGTGAAGCGGATTTACAGAAGACACGGTCGCCCGCGATGGGCAAGACTATAGGACAACGTGTGACCGTCAGACACACAATGTGCGGCGAGCTAAATAAATTCTTGAACAGAGAAGCAATATGCGACAAATTTAGGATTAGGTGGCTGTTCCCAGGAGCATGTTCCCTTCCAGGGTAGGTAAAGGAGGGTGAGTGACAGAAGAGAAGGTTGTTCCGTCCGTAGTATCTCGATAATTATCGCATCCGCCGTGGTACTAACCTTCAATCTGATCGACCGTGTCCTTTACGGGGCGGTCATGGCCCACACCGCCTTCCAAACATAGCTTGGTGTAAAGGTGCTGTCGTTGCCACAAAAGTAAGGCTGGCAAGCCGGTCTTGACCAGGCACTAAAGACTACTGCTGACTACCACCGCTCAAGGACGTAACTACCCTTTACCCTACGGAGTACCTAGTATAAGGACTACAACCTACTCCGTACAGTGAGCTTTTGGCAGCATGTTTCAAAGATACATGGTCATTATGATATACAAAGTACACCTCTCTATTAATTTTATACATGACGGATCATCACAATTCATTCATCGTGCTAGATGGCTCTGTTCCTCCGGTGAACATAAAATCAACTCATGCGTCATAACGAGGTTTGAGCTTCATTTCTTTTTTCCATATACGAAACCCAAATTCGGGATCAATGGAACGGATGACCAGATATGGGAGGAAAAGTCTTAACTCAATGGTGTTCTCCTCTCTATATCGACTGTTTCGGACAGCATGGTAGATCGTGTAATAGTTGGGGCAAAGAATCTGACAAAGAATGCGGCGGAGATACTTCAGGAGCCCTCCTGATTGACAGGGATTTCGAGCACCAACACACGGTCAGATGCGAACTCAACCCACCAATCAGAAGAACCCTCGGTTCTCGACGTGACAAACGTAGTCATCTTCTGGACCAGGGACTCGTGGCCAAGTCGTAAGGGACCAATCCGACACCCATACTGCTTTGCGCAGGAAGAGGGGCCTTCATTGCTACAAGTCGAAAACTTGGTTTTCCCCACGGAACTGGTGCTCCCGACTATTTTCAAATTGGTGTTTTCCTGCTGTCGATAGGGTTTTCTATTATTGCAGGATGGTCTGTCCGGGTACCGGCTCTGGATGTGGAGAATTCTCATTGAATTCCAACATTCCAAATGTCATGGTATGGGCGGTTATGGTGACAAGGCTTTTGATACTGAGTTGCCATTCACCCAGGTAGTAGTCTCAGACTCTGTGAGCTAATAAGCTAGTTAGAAGAGACAATCTAAGAAATCCAGATATTAGAACATGGGTAACTTACGAGTCAATATAATCAAGTCCACCGAAGTATTCGAGCATGCTATAGCAAAGTCCAACGTCATCCCCCGGTTCACCACCAAAAAGACGACATTGCTCGGCCTCCAGCCGTAAGGCCTCTAGCCGCAACATGCGGTCACGCTTCTGCCATGTTGTACACCCATAATGCCAGGTCGGGGCGAAGGGTATTGAGATGGAGTCGAGTGAATCGCAGGCGGCAGGGGTCGTTTTAAGTACAGCTGGGCTGCGAGTGTAGTTGACGGGATATGGAGGCAGCTCAATGGAAGAGTGATTAGCGCTGCGGTTTCGAGATCGTGGGCGTGTGCGACGTCTGTTGTGCCTTTGTCCCATTCTCTATCCACCTAAGCGAGCGACGAGGACGGTTCTTCTGATAGTTTTCTTTTTCTTCTGCGACACCCGGAATTGACGAGAAAGCAAGCAGGCAAGGAGGAAATATCAGAACTTTTTGGGAAGAGCGTTATAAAGTCGTAATGAGGGAAGTGACCATCACCCCCTGGGAAGGATGAGATGAGGTGAAGGAAGGAATTAAAAAGGCCAAACCAGGAGACATCTAGCATCAGCTCCGTTATATAGCATCGATGACTACAATGGAGTGTGCTGGCTCCAGTGGTGTGACTCACTAGGGCCAAAAATGGAGCCGGAGTTAAAAAGGGAAGAAAAATCTCATCATTCGGGACGGGGGATCCACAATAAGCCCCTACTTTCAGTGTACCATCTCCACACTCTGCAGTCTAGAAGCAAAAATACCTAACGTACCCTTACTATGGTGAAAAATGGCCTCATCAAAATCTGGAATGGCGTAGCGGATTTGGTTCTTGCGTGCTCTTGAGTCATCCTACCGTCAATGTCCTCAGGGAGCAAGACAAAAAAAGTCAAGGCATGCTCAACTCAATTGTCACGCAAGATCTGATGCCAAAGTAACAAGAAATTCAAATGTAATATTCATTGAGGTATTTACAGCCAATCGTCGTTAATGGCTCATTGTACGCCGTACCAGAGGAGGTATAATTCCTCATCTACAAAAAAAAAAAATTCGGAGTCCGGAGTATGGCTCCGTTGTAGGCAAATAGCAAGGGTCCGTATGCAAGTTGCGTAGATCCCGATCAGGAGACGTTAAAAACAGCCACACTAAGTAGATTTAGGAAGGCAGCAAAAATAAAGAGAGGGAAAAAAAATCATTAATTTCAGTCGTGGCATGACGGCAATTCTCGTGCCGATCCCCTCCCCCTCTTCAGACTTGCCTGCTGACAATACCATACGGGGCCGATGCCACAGCTCCGGTGCCTAAAACCTCCCAGAAATGAGGATGCCGTACGGACCGATCGGCGCGCTCACAGATCCGATACCAAGCGTAATTTTCCATAACAGGGAACATGATTTAGTCAGAAGAACACCGTAGAACATCTCAAATGTGTCCTCGTCATCCATCAACGGATTTCGCGGCATGACCGCAATGATATCATAGGAATGGAACTCGGTCGTGTTTCAAAGTAGGTAATACAAAAGCGAAAGGTTGAAAACTTCTTCTAACCTACCAAGGCAAGAGGGTTAGGTATCAGGCTGGGGTTTTGATCATTCCGGTTTATTTTCTTGCTGGCGTGTTGGGTGTTGCTGGACTGGGTATCACCTCCTTTTCATGGCAGTAGCTGTTTAGTTTGGGAGACTTAGACCCGGAGGTACGCACAAAAGTATCCAAAGCTAGACTAGGTAGAGCTTTACTATTGGGGAGCTGTAACTAGTCTCATGCGCGTTTCGAGTGGGCTGACCAGTCCATCATTAGGTCCGTACCTACCTCAAACTCGACTAACGGGGAAGCTATCATCATTTGACACTTGTTTGTGCATGCGTCAGTGGTCCACTTGTGCAGACACATCTGAAAATTTTTCGGGGCACATGGAGAGCTCTCATTGAGCGATATTTTGTTTGTCTCTTCAAACAGTTGTCTTGTTTGTTGGGTTTTTACATGTACATAGGGCCATGAAGGGTACTACTATGTCCGGAATTCCCTGTACCCTTTTAACGTCTACTCACCTTCTTTTTCATTTGTCCTTGGTGACTCCACGGTCATAGTAAGTCATGGTTGTCTCAACCGCCAGGTAGATCATTACTAGTTATTTGAAGACCACCCAGTCGAGACAATAATTGGATACTGTCGGTCAAAGAAATTTTAGTTTGTCGGCCTTGTGGGAATATAAAGCTACACAAGGAATCTTTGGCGAAGAATACTATGGGGATTCTCGGCGAATCATTCCGTGCGGTGGTGCAGCGTGGTCGTTTCGATCAGCGGAGTGAAAATGCCTTCTAGAAGGCGGGTATATATTATTACTATTGCCAATCTAGGTAAAAGTGGTGTGGATATGACACAGATGGTTGAAAAGGTGGCGCCTAGGAAGAGCCCCAGAAGGGCGCCACTTACATAGCTATTCCTTCTTAGAGGACTCCATAAGTTACACCGTAATCTCCTGCTAATTCGTCATTTACGAGTCTAGAATGCCCTGCTCCAAATTATCCGAGATCATTGACCCGAAAGCACGGAGTAGTTGAAACCACAAATTGATAGTGACGACTCCACCTGGAGTATATGCGAATGAGATTAAGAATTGTCGATCCCGCGACGGATGATCTCCAACATTTCCTCACCCTTTGGTGCCGTCGTCAGATTCTCATACCCCTCAGCGGTAACTAAAATGTCGTCCTCAATGCGGACGCCGCCAATAGGAATGTACTTCTCAGCCTCATCGAAATTAATGTATTTCGCCAATGGCTGGTTCTGCGCATTCAATAAGGCGAGTCTATTGAAGTAGATGCCCGGTTCAATAGTCACTACCATGCCCTCGTCCAATAATGGTACGGACCAACTGCTGTCGGTAAGAAGCGGTACGAAGTTATGGTTACCCCAGTTAGCTTGCTTTCCATCCAAAGCTGTGATGGGCTTTTCGGAGACATCGTGGACCTCGAGGCCAACATGATGACCCAGACCATGAGGAAAGAAAACAGCAGATGCCCCGGATTCGTATAAGGCACTTTTGCAGTCGTCTGTTAGTATGTTGAGTTTCTGCAACCCTTTGATCGCAATGTCATGTGCAAGCAGCTGCAGATCCCGAAATCGCACGCCTTTTCGGATGCTTCTAATACACTGTTCCTGCATCTCCTCAACTATACGGTAAATGTTCCTTGCACGTTCACTAGGCCAGTCTGTCCACAAGGGAATCGTACGGGTCACGTCACTTGCGTAGCATTTCCACTCTGCCCCAGCATCTAGACAGACCAGCTGTCTTCCATCGAGAGGCTCGTTATTTTTAACGTAATGAAGGACAGCCGCGTTCTCTCCTGAGCCAGCAATGATCGCATATGACTGGTTCTTGGCACCATGGGAGATGCAGGTGGCTAAGAACGAACTCTCAATTTCCGCCTCTGTGGACATGCGGTGAATATCTTCAAGTACTTTGCGATGTGCTAGGCCAGATATATAATTTGCCTGGCGTATCATCCGTAGCTCATATTCATCCTTGATAACCCGAGCTGCATTCATCGCCGGAAGTAGCCGTTCATTATCTAGCAAGGGGTGCTTTGATGGTATCACTGGCTTTTGGTTATCATGCAGGACATATATCGGATGGGACCCCTTGTTCTCGTTTGCCCACCACTCAAGATCATGTTGTAAGGCAGCGAAAAATTTGACACGGTCCACGTCGGTTTGTTTATGAGCCTCATCGATAGTCAGCGTAGGTCCCATCCATACCGCACGGCGTAAGTCGAAGTCCGGGACGTATAAAGTTAACAAATCCGCTTGAATATCGTAGGTCAGATAACAATCCGGCTCATCTATTCCACTGAGATAGTAGAAATACCGTCTCTGTCGGAATGGCTGTGGTTGATCTGAGTCGCCCCAATTGACCGTAGGCTGGCCGACAAGGTAGATAAGGCCTGAGGACACCCCCAATTTTATGGCCACCTTACGCGCATGTTGCTTTGCTGCGGACCGCCGCCTGTCAGCCTCCAAAAGCCATCAAGGTTACTCTAGGAGCTGGAAAGAAAGGGATGGAGGGGACAAATCCAGCAGATTCGGCTCCTTTGCATACCTGGATATTTATCGCACTCGCTGCCTGACCAAGTAAGGCGGATATGGCAGGTATCGTCAGAACGGATGACAACGTCAGATGGCTCTGAGACACGCATACTTGGAGATATGTGTGAACGCATATTTACGAGGGAGTGTGGAAAGGAGGGAGAGCTATATCTTTCTACATGAGAAGCCAAGGGGCTGCAATGAAACACGAGAATGGGGAGAACAAGAGAAGGCAATACAGGAGCAAAGAGAGAGATGTATCATCGCTCAGCTTGTTTGTTTAATTTGGAGGCGGCTAAGTTGAGGTAGGGTGCGACCTACTGATACGGTACCGTACATCCGGTATTTAGACTGCACCTTGTGATGGTCTTCCTAGTACTGCTACCAGTACGGAGTAGTCGCTCCAAAAATATCCAGGTACTGTAGTACGTAGTATGTATGTACCTGTCCATAGGTATGTATGTACTGGACGCAGGGTCATCCTCCTTGTAATAACCATACAGTATCCCAATTTTTCTTGGTCAGTAGGAATTAGAAGGTGTAAGCAAGACTCCAAGGAGTGGTAGGATAACTATCACTACTCATACCCCTTTTCTTAGCCTTGCATTCATGGGATACAAGCGTAGAGAATTCCAATTTCTGAAACTGGCGACAGGATGTTATATGGAAGAAAACCAGCTACGGTCCCAATCAGTTCTTTGTAATACATAATACAGTTCGTTGAACCAAAACATTCGTTATCCGAACGCAATTGTCCGGAAGCGTCGCTGCGCCTCCCCACATGGCGGCGAATCTGGACTGTTAACTTCGCTGTTCCTGTACTGTCATCTCACCAACTCATCTTCTCATCTCATCATTGTACCTTTCTTCCTTCCGCCCCTTCGCTTCCATCCACTTCGGTCGCTGCGGTTTATCTCTCTCTCTTGTTTTGCTCAACTCTTTCTATATTAGTTAAATTTGACGTCGAGTCCCAAACCGGTCAATGAACAATGCGGGGATCTGAGGCATCGGGGCTCAGTGCCCTATGGGGTGCTCCCTCGACCCTCACCACTTCCGTGATAAGCGATCCGACAACGTCACCAGCCTCGCAGTCTCGCTATCCAACCACTGATCCTCAACGAGTGGCATCCGATATTGAACATGTCCTGTTGGCAATGTCCTCTCCAAGTCAGGATGGCGGTCTGGTCAGCGCGAGTGGCAATTCTTCGGGTTCTACCGGCAAGGGTATCTTGATCGGCGTCCTCTCCGCCTTCGGATCTGCAGCAGTTGCTGTGCTTGTTCTTGCGATATTCTTCTTTTTCAAGTATACTCAACGTGGTAGAATTATTTTGGACCGCATCGGGCGCCCAGGTGAATATGATGATGAGCAAGCGTTTTTGCGCGAGGAGACAGAGGCTTTGGAGGCCATGGATGATCTGTCGCGGTCCGAGTATCTGAGGGCAAAGGGTGAGTTTCTGCTCTTTAGCGACTAAACCCAAGATCCTGATGTGAGAGGATCACTCATCGCTAATCTGCGGTATCTTAGCATTCATCGAAGCTAACCCGCCCGAATCGATGCAAACCGATATCTCTCTCTCTCAGTTCCTCGCGATCCAAGAAAAGGGTGTTTCAGCATGGGAGTTCCAACCGGAGCTGGAAATCGCCAACTGCTTTGTCGAGGCCCGCACAGAGATTGAGTTCTACGATTCTGAATGCAGTGTGCAAACCAACCTACCTGTTCCGAAACAGAATGATGTTTACTATTGGGAAGCGAAGATATACGATAAACCCGAGAATACTCTCGTCGGTATTGGCATGACTACCAAGCCATATCCTTTGTTCCGGTTACCAGGTAGGTTTGATATCGCTTATGTGGATAATTCCTAGTGTGTGCCAAACGCTAATGTCACTGTTTCGTCGTAGGATACCATAGAGCCTCAGTGGCATACCAAACCACTGGTCACCGGAGATATAATCAGCCTTTTACACCAACACCATATGGCCCTCCACTTTCGCAAGGCGATGTGATCGGTGTGGGTTATCGGCCTCGCTCAGGTACGATATTCTTCACTCGGAATGGCAAGAAACTGGAAGATGTGGTTCATGGCCAAAAAGCGCAAAATTTCTTCCCCACTATCGGAGCAAATGGGCCCTGCACCATTCACGTCAACTTCGGTCAAATGGGCTTTGTGTTTATCGAGGCCAATGTCAAGAAATGGGGATTGGCGCCAATGACGGGTAGTTTAGCCCCCCCGCCACCGTATGGTAGTGAGCAGGGTAGCATTCTGCTGGAGTCCGGTCGCGAGAGTGCTGCTCAAATTTCCCAGCGGGTTTATCAGGATGCCAACAATGCACGTACGAGCTCCACAGTCAGAATCGCACCGTCAGCCAGTCCCGGCCCGGTCCGGTCCCCAACGGATATTTCCCTCGCCCAGCTGGCTCACATTCCTTCAAACGAAGATGCTGGAGAAGGCTCAAGCCGCACAAATGCTGGCGACGGGGAGCAGGCTCCACTGTT